TAAGGTGATCTTGGAAAGATTGCAAACATCACGCACTGATAACTCTCTATCCGATAAGTAGCTTACAAACCAATACTGTAAATGACGAGAAAAATCAATCTCTCTAAGCCCATAGTTACAAGAAGAAAATTGGTACATTTGTTCCCAGAATAATCTATACTATAACGATAAATTAGAAACTTAAGCTAGTGACAAAGTTAGATTAATTTTTGGTAGATTCAATTATGACGACCAATAAAAATTCGCACCTTGAAGGGTTAATTTTTTAAATTGCAGAAAAACAATTTTTTTAGAAAACCTCATACAACTTGGGTGTTCTGAACTTGAATTGATTGGATTCATCTCAAAGTACATAAGATTTTTTTTGCTATTCTTTTATTTGGATTAGTTTAACAATTAATCAAAATTAGATGTACAAAGTAGCTAACCATACTTACAATTTGCCATATCATTCATATCAAATAAATAAATTACAAAGAAAAATGATTATACCGACAACTTATTTCAATTATTATTAAATAACAGGGTGTCGATTATGTAATTATGTCAAAATCAAATTAATTTTAACGTCAATGTCAAATTTAATTCAACAAATTCATTGTTTTATTTAACTTAGACGTTAAATTAAAATTTAATTTTTTATTTCAATTTAACGTCGCATTCAAATTTATTTTTTGATAGCAATTTGATGTATTGAAATCAAAAAATAAATTTGACTTTATGACGTCAAAGTCAAATCAAATTACATAATCGACTCCCAGGATACAAATTATTTTTCTTTAGCTTAAATTTTAATTTTTTGACATTTGAACATAAAAAAAATATTTAAATAATTCATTTATTGTCTTTCAAAGCGGCAATGGTGAGTAGTTATTTTATATAAATAACCAGATCTCTCGTTACAATAGCAACTTTCTACTCCTACACAGGGTAGGGAAGAAGGGGATTTCCCTTTTTGCCTTGTGTTGTCTGTACTTTTATATATATATATATATATATATATATATATATATAATCTACTCGTGACATATTTGTTCGATATAGTATATTGTGTGCACACTATTCATATATAACATAACGACATGAATGCTTTCCTGCTACAATTGGACACGTGAACAACGTATACATTGCGCACAGTTAATAGATAAACAAAAACTTACTATGGACAGGTAATATAACCTCGTCATTGATTTTGCTTATTGTTTTAAATTTAAAAATTAAAATATTTTCTCAATATTTACTATATGGTAAAATATTGATTCCTCAATGGAAAAAAAAATTTACTTAGAATCAATAACATTAATTTACAATGATATTGCACCTTGGCATCACAGAAAATTATAAGGTATTAAAATAAGCTGCAACGCTTATTATTTTAATTCAATGTTGCTTATTTTAATCCATTTTGGTACTAAAATAAGCAACATTGAATTAAAATAATAAGCATTGCAGCTAATTTTAATATCTTATAATTTTCTGTGATTTGATTGACTTTTTTTATGTAAAATTTGGCGCTTAATCCGCGAATATGAAGATAGAAAGTAAAAGAATTTGTGAGATACAAATAAATTTCACTTCTTTAAGTCTCGAAACATCTACATATATCAGGAGGAAATTAAACAATGAGATGCAAACAATCATTACAAGTTTTGAGGTAGCGAATTCAAAGTTAGATTATGAAAATTCAAAATGGCGCATCCAATATGTCGGAATATTTGAAAGATGCTCCGATATATATATATATATATATATATGGGAAAATCCACGAAACTTTTAACTTTTACGACACCTGAATCAAACACTTAAAAGCCTATATTATTTTTAATTAAAACTTAATATATAATTTTTTCTTGCTAAATTATATACAAAGTAACATTTCTGTACAATATTAGAAGAAAATATTAATTTGTCAATTAGTTTTATAAGTTAAAAAGTGAAAAAACACTGAAATTTCATGTGAAACCGTCAGAAAAGTTTACATTCTTAACGACTTTTCTTTTGTGGCGTGTAAAATATCGCTTCAGCTGCAAAGGAAATATCTAACAGGCATATTTTGTCAAAATTTTTTCACTCTCTCATTAGTGTGCCCTCAATGTTAATAAAGATATGAAGGGTTGATTGAGTGACGCCACTTTTTAAGACAATTTAATTAAACATCTTCTTAAGGAAATATCTTGTGCGGCGTTCAATAAAAGTAAAAGTTCAATGGATTTTTGAATAGAGAATGAAAAAACGAAAATTTTAAGACCTTCTTCATTGATGTGCCTCTAAATGTACTTCTGTAGGAGCAATTAGAAGATGATAATAAAAATCGTGATTTCATTTAAATTTATACATTTTTGAAAGGCACAACTGCATTTTTGCTTTAAACAGGTCAATCTATGGTGTGATCGAAACATTTTCATAAATATATTTGAACACAAAAATGCCGCTTAAGTATTTTGAGTGAAACAAATTTTATTAAGTTAAGAATATGCTGAAAACACTTTTTTGGAGTCTTTACCCCCTCTTTTCTCAAAATCCTGACGTGATAAGCAAATTTGGGTGCCAGAATCGTGTTCAGAGGACGAAAATACTTTGGAAACCACTCCGATATCAAAAATAAAAAAAGTTGAATTTTTCAATTTTATAATTATGTAATTTATTAACATTAAAGAGTTTAAAGAGTTAAACATTGACAGCGTGAGCTAAAAATGAATCACGCATATGAATTTGTAGTGCTAAAATGTACTTAAACGTGTATACAAAGTGACATCAATGTGCCTGCAAATTAAAAAAAGAAATTTTCTTTTCTTGAAAGTTAAAAGTTTCGTGGATTTGCCCATATATATATATATATATATATATATATATATATATATATATATATATATATATATATATATATATATATATATATATATATATATATTAATTAATAAATAAATAATGTAACGGTAACTTAATTACAATGATGAATAACAATTTATCTTGTTTTCTGTTCAGGAAAGTATTTTGTTGTTTGAACCAATTTCCAGAATGGATGAAATGTTTACGTTCGCAGAATACATAATGGCGAAGGAAAGTTTCTATATATCGAAAACCATTTTCTCCAAGTTGTCTTCCGGTCAAGTTGCCCGATACGTAAATAAAAGTACAGTGATGGAAAGGGAAATAGGAGCAATAGAATAGAAGAAAAAGTTGTCGATTAGGGAGATAGAAATAAGTAAATAAAAAAAAATAAATAAAACGTCTTCTCATTTAAAGAATCTCACTTGACAAGGTCGAGAAATGGCCTAGCCCCAGGAATTATTGTGGTTTAATATACACGAAAGCTGTGCACTGTGCATACTCTATATTTACTACAAATAAACCTCGATACTAACACTTTAGTGATCCTATTAATTGCTTTTCCACGTGGGTCATTCTAATACCTGAAGCGAATCCCTTGCGGATTCGGAAAACCGTATTTAAATCGAATACTGTTTGAATTTCGTTAACTGTGATTAAAAGTTAAATTTTGCAGCTAATCTATGAAATATGATTAAAAAAAACAATTTATAGGGGAATAGTGTCAGGGTTGGACACAGTTTTGGTTTTTTGTTTATAAATATTTTGTTTAGATAAATTCAGTCAATTGTGTTATATGGGTGGAAAGATCTACAAAAGAGGAACACTTTTGCTGTGGACCGTAAATTGATTGGTCCAAAATTAAAAAAGTTATAAACATTAAAAAAAAAAATCTAGTCAGGGTTGGACTTTTCAGTCAGGGTTGGATACTTTTTGAAAATCGAAACGCATTATTGGTAAAAACGTAAAATAACATTTGTAATGTTTTTTATTCTTATTTTTTCATGTTTATCTTTACTTATTGTTTACAAATTGTAAAGCTTCATGGGTTTAAAAAAGGAATGAATTCAAATTACAAAAAATAACGATTTATTGTTCCCAATAACTCAATGAAATGATAAACAAAATTTATACAATTTAAGTATTATTTTTCTAATATCTTTGGCACAATTTTGCACTGAAATATCAATAAAATAAAATTTATTTATAAATTGTGCCAAATTCATAATTAATATGGGTGTAATCAATAATAATAATAATTAATATGTAACCCTAACTGTATAAAGTGTCCAACCCTAACTAGAAGCATCATTTTCGAATTGTGCTAACCATAACCAGACATGTGTCGCGATTCGATTTTTCACATTTTTTCTTCTTAAATTACGTACCCCACAATACATTCTATAAGCTTACCTTGCCGAATTCTTGCTTTTTTAACACATTTTTTAGGTTTATTCACAAGTCAAACAAAACTTTTTTTGTCTCTTCGATTGCACCGAAGTCACAGGAGACGCTACTTTTGATTCTCCAAAAATGTAATGCCACAAAAAGTTAGGTTACACTACTAGAAGATTCGTCACGTACGCACACAGGTGGCGCTAGTGTTCTTATTTAAAAAAAACCAAGTGTCCAACCCTGACACTATTCCCCTACTTATAAATTATTGTTAGTTTCATTAAATTGTGCAAGATTTGAGTTAAATTTAGCTCTAATTAAATAATTAATTTACTAATTGATATAAATTATGATTAGTTTAATTAAATTATACAAGAATTCAGTTATTATAGGCTCTAATTAATTAGGAAATTAATTAATTGATTAGAGCTGAATTTAACTCAATTTGTGCATAATTTAACTAAACAAATCATAATTTATCAGTATCAATGTTTTTTCATCCATATTTCATGGGAAAAAGATTTTTTTTCCTCTTTAATAAGTACTATTGTAAAACACAGGTAAAACAAAATAGATCATAGACTTTATAATTTATTTTAGTTGATCGTCGATCAAAATATTAACAATATATAATTATTTAAAATCAAATTTCTTACAACAAATCATAAACACACAATTTTAAATAAATTAATTAATTTTACTGCGACTTGTTAATTGTTGCATAATTACCTAATGGAATTTAATGTAAAAATATCATAATATTCTTATATTTACAGTTTTGATGATTCGTCAGTGGAAAGCTGTTCTGCTGTTTCAGCAGATATTGACATCACATCCCTTGAAGAGGCAAGAACAGTTATAGCTGCTCTTAAAGCAAGGCAGAAGGAACAAGCATCAGCACAAGCTTACCAGACATTTCACTGGCGAAAAACTTTAAAATTGCAAGTGAGTTCAAATTTATGTAATAATTAACTTTTATTAATTAATGAATTCTTTATTACAATTTTATAATATTTTATATTTCACTCGCTTTTGAATCCGACATTGATCAAAAAGAAACAAGATAAAAATTTGAACTAAAGTCACCAACGTTGAAAAAGAAAAAAACTTTTCGGTTTCACTCCGCATTGACTATAACGCCACCAAAGTTGCTATCTCCATTATCTGCTAGGGCATGCTTTGTCTTAGCCTTATTGACAAGATCCTAAAGAGTCTTAAGTCCGTCCTTAATGGTCACGTTGATATTCTTCTGAACTTCGCAAGACTTTACCATCTTGGCGATTTTCCCTTCGATACTCTGAAAATACTCAGCTTCCTCCTGTCTAATTGTAAGCTTCAAAAACACTTCTCTAGTTCTTCTTCGATTGTCTCGTTGTCTAGGTCAGACTGAATCAAACTTCTTCCGCTGCTGACAGTTGAAACGCTTTCTCTTTTACTTCCAAGTCTTTCCAAACGGACCTGGGGAATCTTAAGTAATTGGGTGCCCCCATGGTCCATCCTCCTTGTGGCATTGAATGCTGCAGCACCCAAGGTGTTCAATACTGCAGCACTGTTGTTACTGGATTTCGACGCTGGGAAGCCAACTTGCTTACTTCCAGCAGCGCCGAGTCTACTATAGTAGATGTAATTTCTTAAGCATCCGACCCAATTCTAGTTACAAAACATTTGCATTAAACCATTCCATCAGCAAAAAGAAGGTTTTATTTAACTTTACTTACTTATATGAACAATTATAAACATAGTTTTTTCATTGCAGGAAGAGAAGGTGGCCCGATTAAGGAGAGAAAAGGGGGATTTATTGCGATATATTTCCTCGCAGCTTCTTCTATTCGAATCACGCCTTTGTCGAAAGCAGAAAGAAATTGAAGCAAATTTAGCGCAAAGGGAAGCGATTATTTTAAAACAGCAAAGAGTCATTCGGCAATTACAAAGTAGATTATCTGAAAGAACAACTGATATCAGAGGTTCACCACCATGTGATGCTTTAGATCGTTTAGACAGTTTAGGAGACAGCGATAGTGCTGTCGTCTTAGAAGAAACGACTGATGATCCAACAACACCTAGGTAAGTTTTTCAAATTAAATATTTATTACATTTTACCCCATTTCAATTTTCAAATTTAAAACTATCGTTTTCATTTTCAAGATCTTCATACGAAACGTAAATTTTTACAAGTTAATAAGTTTGCATTATTTTTTTTTAGATTCCGATCGAACATAACTGACGTGACAGTTATTCGATCAGTATCCGATGCAGTCGAACCATCAAGTAAATACTTATCAATGAGACGAGTCAATGGTTACCTTAGAAGGCCAGAAATTTTAGAAACAGTTTATTCTGTGGAAGAAGATGGTGATCAGGATCCAGGAGAAAACCCTGAAAACACAGAATGTGTTGAAAGAAGGGCGAAAGGTCTTGGTTCTGGGAAAGGTCGTCTTCAAGATTTGTATGGTAGTTTTGAGCGTCTTGCTCAAGAAGCAGAGTCCCCACCCCATGAGAGACCTAGGGATGAAAGTCAGCAAGCTCAGGTGGGTAGTGTTCTTTATTTTCTAAATTCTACGCAGAAAATAAGGAAAATTTTATTACTACTGCAGGGATAAAAAAAATTCATTCAGAATTATTTGTCTAAATCATAAAATATATAATTGAAAACTCGTTCAATCCGATCCTTGGAAGCTTGGAATAAATTTAAATGATAACTTGAACTATAACTTGAATTTGAATTGGTTACTGGAATTTGAAGATAAAACTTGGAAGAATTTGAATATCTTGAAACGAATTTGAATAACTGAGTAAGAACTAGAAAAAGAATTTTTTTTCCTTTACGGGGGAAGTGGAAAATTTGCATAACTCTTGGTATCCAAGGTAGATGCCTGGAGCCCGTGCTCCGACGTTATGTGGAGATGACCGTTTTTGTTCTTGTCGACCCACTAAAAACCACACCCTTTGGCTAGACTAATCCTTACACTACCGAACTATCGTCAAGCTTTAAATTTCCTAGGTGAAGAGCCCTGGAATTCCCCTTTCTGGCCTATTTGTTCTTGCAAGAGCTTCCTTCGCTTTCTCAAGGGCAGATCGGAAGACTCTGCTTATCAGCAAACTTGTGGTTGCATAAGAAGCAGTCTGCGAACTTATAATTATGCTTCACCACATTTAAAACACGTAGCCGATTTGTTCGCCGCCTTACAAACCCCTGGATTCGCCTGCGATTCTAATAAGCAGATCTCCTTTTTTGGTAGGCCTTACACCTACTACTCTCGTGTGGCTCATTTCTGAATTTACCTCCTTGTGAAGTTTGATCAGAACATCAGAATAAGACTTCCCATCAGCAATTCGGACGATTATGGTCGATCCTCTTATCTCCTTTTTTTTCTTTTCTCTGACTCTTTTGCTTTGGAATTTTCTCCGCTTTCGTGGAAGACAGATTCTCCTTAATTTTCTTGGAAGTTTCAGTATGTGTCTCATCAGAACTTCCGTAGCTTCTTCCCCTTTTCCCGGTCTCACTGAAAATATGTCTCAAATGTCGCCTTAAATGACGCTCTCGTCTTTTCTTCCTCTTTTTGCGGTTGTCCTCTGCGTTACCGAGAGTCGTTCCTAAGTCATTATCCGACCCATCATAGCCTTTGCTTCACTTAGGAAAGGCTGGATGATTTTGAGACCATTCTTCACCGTCCTATTTACATTTCTCTGAATGTCGTAAGACTTCAGCATCTTTTCAACCTCCTTCTCAATCTTAATGATAAAACCTTTTTGCCTCCTTTTTTCTAAGCTACAGATAGGCTTCTCGATCCTCGAGGATCGCCTCCTCATCCCCCTCAGAATGAATCGAGCTGAAGACGGACTTTCCGCTATTGGCACTCGACACACTCAGAAGGCTCGACGCGCTGTCTCTCCTACTTTTACTTCACACTTTAGACGGAATCAAACTTCTTCATTGCAAATTTAGGGGCTAATATTTTTTTTTTAGAGCGGGAGGTAGGAAAATATCAATGATTGGATATATTGAAAAAGAAAATAAGAAAACATGTCATTGGGTCCTTCAGGCCCAGCTCTTGAAAGGGATGACTTTGTATGGGCATATCTTAAGATAAGAGTGTCTTGAAAAAGTGAAGGGGTCTAAAATTCAAGCTATTTCTAATAGACGGAGCCAAGATTTACTTTTTGAACGAATTTTCAAAATTACAAAAATTCTTAAAATTATTTATGAAATACATAATTTTTTATGATTATTTAATTATTTAACATTGAAAAATTTAAAATTTGCACACACAGTAATAATTTGAAAAATATATTATGTTTTTTTCTATTTCATATACACATTTGACTGCATCTAAAAAGAGGGTGCTATCGACCAAAAAATCGAATTTTTACTTTTTTGTTGATTCTAATTAAAAAAACATTAGACAAGTGTGCGTGTAACTCACCTTAAAACCTAGGGGTTAAAGTAACTTAATTTCGTATAAAAACACACTTGTATAAGAAATATAAGCTTTGTACCTATTTCGTGTAATCGATAAGATGAGGAATCAAAAAATTATATAATAATAAAATGCTTGGTCTGTCCTTCTGTCTTAACTTGAAGTTGGCCTTTTCTGATTTCAAGTGTTTTTTTGAATAATAATCTTATGACGTGTCAAATTTTGACAATTCTTTTTCTCATTTTTGCCAAAGTTGTATAATTGTGTTTCCAAATTTCGGAATAAGTTTCTTTAAAATTCCGAATTCGAAAATTCAATTCACGAAGCTGAAGTACACAACGTTTACCAACGAAATTTTTTTTAAACTTGTATATTGATTCAAAAATTGTATACAAATACAAAAAATTTATGATGAGAAAAAAGATGCGCCAGGAAATTTCGTACAAGATAGTAATTTGAAAAAATTTATTTTTAAGGTACCAGGGGCCAACGAATACCTATTAAATATTAATTATAAAAACACAGGCCTCGAATCAACTTAAAGACACAAAAAGTCGTTTTAGTCGATTTATATTCCAAAAAAAAGTGGATTTGTTTTTTATTTTAACAAAAATATTTTACTAATTTTTAAATAAAAAATATTTTTTTTTTAATAATAATCCTTTTCGAAGGGTTAAAGTTAAAATTTTTAGAAATAATTAAAATTCAAAAGACATTGTTAATTTTCAAACAATTATTAAATTTTACAGAACTAACAATAATTTATCAAACAATTTTTGGAAAACATTTTTTAAATTTAATTGAATTTTCAGAGATTTAAAATTGAGATTTTTGAAATTAATTGAAACTTTAAGTGTTTTGTAATTAAAATTTTAGATGATTTCACTAAAAATTTATTAGAAAATGCGGACAAAATACAATAATTTGAAAATCATTTTTAATTGAAAAATGGTTTCAGATAGTTGAATTATCAAAGTATATTATTAAAATAGTTAAAAATAATTGAATTTCCTTAAAGTTGTAATTGAAATTATTAAATTAAAAAAAAAAAATTTTTGATGGAAAATTTTAGAAATAATTAAATTTTAGATGCTTTTAAATTCAAATTATTGAAAATTCAATTAATTTTGAATTCAAATTTTTGAGAAATAATTGAATTTTAATTGAAATTTTGGATAATAATTCAATTTTAGTTGATTTTTGATTGAAAATTTTAATAATAAATAATTTTGAGTTGAAATTTTTGAGAATAATTGAATTTTAGTTGATTTTTAATTGAAAATTTTGAAAATAATTGAATTTTCATTGATTTTGACTTGAAATTTTGGGAAATAATTGAATTTTAATTGAAATTTTGATTGAAAATTTTGATAATAATTGAATTTTTGCTGATTTTTAATTGAAATTTTTTTCGCTTAATTAAGCGAATGACTTTTTCAACGATTTAAACCTCTTCGATTCCAATGATAATGCATTTGTTTCGAGTTTGCGCACATCAATATTAAAACTATAATAATATACTCTATGTACTATACACTATCACTGTATCTCTATAGGGCTATAAGCCCGTTGGTTCATTAAATAAATAAATAAATAATTCAATTTTATTTGATTTTGAATTGATTTATGATATTGAATTAAAATTGTTTGGTAATTTTATTTAATATTTTTTTAAAATTATAAACAATTGTTAAATTTTATAAAAATTTTAATTGAAAAATAATTTGAAATAATTGAATTTGTAATGAATTTCATTAAAATTATTAAAAATAATTAATTTAGTGAAGAATTTTAGTTAAAAATTTGTTAAATAATTGAAATAAAGAAGATCTGAAGAAGATTTGCATTTTATACTAAAAAAAATATATATTTTATTTAAAAAACTTTTTTAAAAATGTAAAAAAAAGTCGGAATAGTCGCATTTTATTAAAATAAGGCAAAAAAAGTCGTATTTTTGAAAAAAAGTCGGAAATAGTCGAAAAAGTCGTATAACCCGAGGCCTGGTTTCAGATAGTTGAATTTTCAAAGAATATTATTAAAATAGTTAAAAATAATTGAATTTCCTTAGAGTTATAATTGAAATTATTAAATTTCAAAAAAAAAATTTTCGATGGAAAATTTTAGAAATAATTAAATTTTAGATGCTTTTAAATTCAAATTATTGAAAATTCAATTAATTTTGAATTCAAATTTTTGAGAATAATGAAATTTTATTTGATTTTAAATTTGGAAAATAATTGAATTTCAGTTCATTTTGAATTTAAAATTTTGGGAAATAATTGAATTTTAATTGAAATTTTGGATAATAATTTAATTTAAGTTCATTTTTATTTGAAAATTTGGTTAATTAATTTTGAATAGAAATTTTAGAAAATAATTAAATTTTATTTCATTTTAAATTGAAAACTTGGTAAATAATTAAATTTTAAATTGAAAATTTTGGATAATTATTGAATTTTAATTAATTTTGAATTGAAATTTTTAAAAAATAATTCAATTTTATTGTGATATGTTTTTTTAAATTATAAACAATTGTTAAATTTCAAAAAAAAAATTAATTGAAAAATAATTTTGATATAATTGAATTTGTGATGTATTTCATTAAAATTATTAAAAATAATTAATTTAGTGAAGAATCATTTTAGTTCAAAATTTGTTAAATAATTGAATTGAAGAAGATCTGAAGAAGATCTACATTTTATACTAAAAAAATGTATTTTATTTACATTTTTTTCAAATTTAAAAAAAAATGTCGCATTTTATTAAAATAAGTCGATAAAAGTCGTATTTTGAAAAAAGTCAGGAAAAGTCGTATAATCCGAGGCCTGTAAACATATAATATAAACAATTACATACTCAATTTGGCGCGCGTTTAACTTTGCTAGTTATTAATAAAATAATAGTAGTTAATAGAATTGTTAATGTAATTGTTTTAAATAATTTTATAAATTTGAATCTCTTAAAATTCTATTAAATGAGAATTATTGTGAATTAAAATTCGGTTTAATTGACATTATTTTAAATAGTCCGTACAATTGTAAATAAATAAAAAGTGTGATAGAGAGAAATTTGTCGAATTAAAAATTTTGCAAAATAAAAATTCTTGGAAACAAATTTCAGAATAATACTTATCAAAACTTATTATGATTTTACTTTTAAAATATGACCTATTAATATAAAATAAATTGTTTCAGGTGACGTACAATAGAGTGATGAGTAACCACAGGTCGGTTACAAAACCTAAGGACGTTAAATACAAAAGAATAAATAAAGCAAAATCCAAAAGTTTAGAAGAACTTCGTGGCCGATTAAGAAATTGGGTAGAAAAAGGCAATAAAATTGCGATATCATTGGATCAATCTTATGCTTAGAATAAATTGAATTCTTATAATATCAATTTAATATTATGCACAAGATTGATACCAATTATTATTTTTCTAAGCGATTGTGATATATAGGTACCTTATTTGTTTAGTTCATCAAGAGCAAAAAAAAATTGTAAATACACTTTGTAAAATTTTAATTGTCAGAGGGCGACTTTTGTCATCTATTTTTGATGACGACCTAAAAAAAATTATAAAAATCTTCGAGAGGAATGTTAATTCACACATTTTCAGCTCGTATCTATTTAGCAGACATAACTAGTGCTGCCATATATGTATATATACATGTAAAATTAATCTCTAATCTTCAACATATTCTCGATTTTCCGAAACACTATCTTGAAATGTCGAAATTGAGATTAATTGTGCACCATCGACGAGGATTTTCGTCGATTTTCCACGACGAAAAGTTACGTTTACTAAAAACTAATTTGCCAGTTATAAATTTCATTGCAATGATATTTATTTAATTTTTTATATCATACGTGAAAAAATTTTTTGTTGGAAGAAAATCTTTCTTAATCCCCGACTGTCAAGTTCCTTATTTTCCACACCTTTAGACGGTGATTTTCAGAGATATTTTTTCTTGTATTAATTTATAAAAAAAATTTACTAAATATTATGAATTAATTAAATTTAATATGTCGATTGTTTACATAAAGTTGTTAAATTAAATAATTTTAGTGATTCAATTGATATAAAAAAAAATTTAATAACGAAATATATTTTTCAATGAATATTTTAAAATTAAATGAAAATTTTCTTTGACTGAAATTTATAATTGCAAATTGGAGATAAATTTTTTTTTCCATATCCTCGTTGGAAGTGCCTTGTTTTTTTATGATTTTGCATTATGACGACTGTAATGAAACTATGTTTCCTCGCCTTCAAAAGGTGTGAACTTGATATTTTTCTATATAAGAAAAATATATGCAATATATTTTTCTAAGAGCTGCAAAAGTTCTTATACTGAAAAAAATGGATATATTCTTAAAAATTAGTATTCTTTGATAAAAAAAAAGAAAATTCTACGCAGAAGTTTAAAATTATCTGCGTCTATAAATCACAAAAATAACCTTTATATTTTTGCTCATTATTTCCGAGCAACATGGATATTAATTAAAAATAATATTTTAAATATTCTTTATTTTAATTAAAGACTGGTTTTTTTTCTATCGAATTAATTGAAATTTAAAGATATTGAATATCTGATATTAAATTTAAGTATTTTGATTATTAAATAAATTGTCCGCATACTATATCGGAATATCCATTTTTCTTCATGTGAAAAAATATAATGAGTATATTTTTACAATATGCTGTGAAAAAAGCAGAAATGTAATTTCCAAAAATTTGACAATCTTTGCGTTTTGAAAAAGCAAATTTTTTAATATCTTTATCACATCATATGTCATGAGTCTACCTCAGCATTTTTCATTAAAAATCGAAGACCATGATTCTCGTCAACTCTACGCTTATTGTTAAAAAAAAAGTATATTCAAGCTTGTCGAACTAGAATCATATTAAGAGTATAAGTAGTTTAAAACTACCGACAATCCGTAGTAACAATTATTGTTATACGTTTTTTCAGTATTTATTTAATGCGACACATAAAATTGATTTTGAATATAAAAAATAGAGAAAGTGTTATCAAAATTTAAAAATATGGAAATCAAATTTTATGTTCTCATTGTTTATAGTTGAAGCCATCGATCTCTTTTGCATAATAATCGCGTCATACAGCGTCACTGATACGTAATATATAAATAAATAAATAAATAAATAAATAAAAGAAAATTAAATTTATAAAAAATACACTTGATTTCGATCGCAGGAAGAGAATAAAGACATTGAGTGATAAAAAGACAGATGAGAAACTTTTATCGATATATGTAAAAAAAAAAAAACTTAACATAAAACTGAAATGACTTTCTTTCTTATATTCATGTGAAAAAAAACTCAGAATCGCGCATGGCGTTGCTTTAATAGCAGATTTATTAACTGCTACGGATATTAATTAATATTTTAAGATATTACATTAATTACATCTAAGTCTTAAATAAAGTATTATATCAGTATAACTCTTGTGTAATATTGTCTATACTTATTCTCTCCTTTGAAAATTCAGGATTATATAAATAATCGAAAACTACTTCAAGGTGGCTTTTGAAACTTTAAAAATTTATTTATCTTTTTGTATATATAGGGGCCAGGGATTGCGTGACCTTTATGCGTATAAAGTCACCACAAAAATTAATGGTTAGAATATATTTATTTTAAAGAATTTATTTGGTATAATTATGTTTTAGTCGAATTTTAATTTTTCGAATTTAAAAGAATTTTTACTTATCAAAATTTCCAGGCACCGGACTATTGACTGAATTTTTAGTTTTTAGTATTTCTCTTTACCAAATTTTTATTTCAAAATATTATATGATACTAATTGCATAATGATGAAATTTTGTCTTTTATTTTCTTTAATTAAAATTTTAACTAGTTTATTTAAAAATTTTACATTCTACCCGATATAGATACAGTTGAAACATACAGAACGAAAAGTTACCCGCTGACTGAAAAAATGAGTGGGTCACCCTTTATAATACTTCTCAACTCAGAGATACATATACAAATAAGTTTGTTAATAATTTTATAATTTGTTTTAACAAATATTAATTTTATAATTTTTATTCGAAAAATACGTATATGTTAAATACGTCACGGGGACGTGACATATGAATAATAAATTAATTTGAAATATCAATATTTAAAGTTAACTAATAATTAAACAAACAATTAAGAATTTACTAAAATTGATTATTTCAACGCGTGAGAGATTATTTTTAACAAATAGAAATAAAACAGACTCGTAACTTGATATTTTCAACAGAACGAAATCTTGGCGACAGGAACTCTTGGACCAATCGTGGGAAAACGAAAAAAAAGGAAAGGACCCATCGGTCAACATCTGGAGAATGCACTCATAGAGTTTTGTGATGATTTCACGGTTATATTTAACTTTTATTGCTTACAAATGTTTTGGTATGAAAAAGTAGCAAGTATCCTGGATTTTTGAACTTTCATTTGCGTCCAAGAAATTAAATGTTTGTTCACATTCACAACGACAAGATGTAAAATGCTTGATGTTTGAACGGATTTCTGAAACGATAAACAAAATGAATTTTTAATATTTAAAATAACTTTTAATCTTTCAAAATTTAATGCTATCAATATTATAGTCAGAAAATTTAATAGCTTCATTATTGTATCAGTCGGCAATTCCTATCAAGAAGTAGGCTCATCATTCTTATTAATAGGAAATAATTATATAGTGTTTCATATGAAATAAAATTTTTAAACTCACCTATACCTACAATTAAAACTATTGTGTCCAATTGCAAAGGCTTTGCAGTTGTTTGACTTCCCTTTGTTCGCTTTATGTTTGAACAAATTACTGAAAGTTCAAACAAAAATATTTAGTAACATTCAAAGTACAGAAACTATTAATAGTATAGAAAATATGATATCAGAAAATAAATTGACTTCATTAAAGTATCAGTCGGCAATTCCTATCAAGAAGTAGGCTCATCACTCAAAATTTAAAAAAATAAATAACGAATAAACAATAATAAGTTTAAATCTTACCTGCCTATATAGCTGCTGATATCCACTTTGCAGCTATTTTATTTTGCTCTGGTCGCTTGATGTTAGAACTAACTACTGAAACCATAAATAAAAAAAATATTTTGTAATATTCAAAGAAGTATAATAATTATAAAGTTGATTGCAGTCAATAAGATCATCAGAAAATTAAGTGGCTTCATTATTTTATCAGCCGGCAATTCCTATCAAGAATTAGGCTCATCATTCGTAATAATAATAATTTATAACAAACCATTATAAAAATTCATATACAAATTTCTTTTTTTAAAACTCACCTTAATATTTTTCACAATTTATCATCAGAGAGTGGAATATTCCAATTAGATTTGTTCGTTGTCAGAAGAACATAATTATTGCGCTCTTCGTTGCTCCTTATATTTCCACGTATCATCAATTGGAACATCGTGACGTTGAAGTGGTTGTGGCAAAATAAAAGAATTTTTCCCTTAATTGTACTTTATTCGCTTAATGTCCGAACGAATTACTGAAACCATATACAACAAAAAGATTTTGTAATATTTACACAAGTACACTAATTATAAAATTGTAGTTATGTGATCATCAGAAAATAAAGTGGCTTCATTACGGTATCAGCCGGCAATTCCTATCAAGAATTAGGCTCATCATTCATAATTAAAAAAAAACCCATTCATATGAAATAAAATTTTAGTTTAAAACTTACCTAACTATTGGTTATCAGCCATTGTGACCAATTGAGAAGATTTTCCAGATGTTTGAATTTCCTCTGTGTGTTTCAGGTTTGAGCAATATACTAAAATCATAAATGGAATAAAAAAAATAGTTTATAATATTCAAAGAAGTACTAAAATTAATAAAATTTGCCGTTAAAGTGATCATCAGAAAATAAAGTGGCTTCATTATGGTATCAGCCGGCAATTCCTATCAAGAATTAGGCTCATCATTTGTATTTAAAAAAAACTATTATAATGATCAATATAAAATAAGAATTTTAAGTTTAGAACTTACCTGATAAAGGACATTAAAGATTGTGGCCAATAGGAAAAGCTTTGATTACTTTCCATTTCTCCCTGTTCAATTGATATTGGAATTTCTGAAACGATAATCAATATTGTTTCTTTATATTTAAAATACATTAACTTTTAAATTTAACGCAAATAATATAATCATCAGAAAATAAACTGACTTCATTAATGTATCAGTCGGCAATTCCTATCAAGAAGTAGGCTCATCATTTAAAATTAAAGACAAAAATTAACGATCAGAATCCATGTACAGGGTGACCAAGTTATGCTTTGAAAAAAGCAGGCATTACATTCCAAAAAAAAAGGTTGAAAAAGAAATTTCTTTATTTTAATTACTTAATAAAAATAATTCTATAAGAATATTATTAAGAAAATTTATTTCTAATATTTCAGAATCAAACTAAGAAAATTTTGGCATATTGTTTTTATGTTTTAATGGTCAAAACAATTTTAGCCAATAATTCAGTTCAGACAATTAAATTTTACAGAATTGAAAATAATTTATCAAATTATTTTTGGATAACATTATTTTAAAGTAATTAAATTTTGAAAGATTTATAATTCAAAATTTTTAAAATAATTAACCTTCATGTGATTTTTATTTGAAATTTTTGGCGAATTTTGATGATGAAAAATTTATTAGAAATTACAATCTTCTATTATATTATGTTAAAAAATTTTCAATAGCAACACCGAAACCGAAAAAATTTATTTATACTTATTTTCAATTAAATAAAAATCATTTGTAATAGGCCTTTAGAAAATTTTACATATTTTACCGTTTCAACATGTTTTTGCAATTTAAACTCTAAAGAAAGGGTTATTTTGCAATTTTAAGCAATAATTTTTCGAATTTTTGAATATATACCTATAAAATTATTCTTCTTTTGAAAAATTATTCAAAATAATTTTTTTTAAATCCAAAATTTTTTCCGATTTTTTTAAAAATATTTTTTACCAATTTATTTAATGATTTTTTTGCTATTTATTGTTGTTTTGCAAATTTTTTATTAGAAACCTATAATATTGTACCATATTTTAAATGTCATTCAAATCAATTGTTTTCAACTTAAAAATTTTATCATTGCTGGTGTCAAACCTGAACACCAAAAAATTTATTTATCTAATATCTAATATCAGAATTTAAGTCAACAGAAATGATAAATTTGTTTAAGTTTATTAAATAAAATAAAATAAAAATTTTTTTAAAATGCAATTTAAAATTTTAACAAATTTAAAAAAAAATTAATTAAAGAATTAAATTAAAATTTTTTAAAATTATTTGTATTGTTGTTATAATTATAACAATCAAAAACAATTAATATTTAACAATTGTCATTTCATCCTTCGCTAAAGATTATCAAAGTCAAGATAATTTTTATACAATATTAATAAAACATTAATTTAAAACATAAATTTTATATAGATAAAATTAAACTATAATAAGTAAACTAACCATGCGAGCTAGTTTGAAATTAAACTTTAAAAATTTTTAATCGAAAAATCCTTTCAAATAATTGAATTTTCGAAAAATATAAAATCATTTAAAATAATTGAATTTCCGTAGAGTTATAGTTGAAATTATTAAATTTCAGAAAGTTTTAGATGTAAAATTTTATAAATAATTAATTTTAAAAGATTTTAAATTGAAATTTTTTAAATTTTACTTACAGATTTCTTTTTTAAACAATTATTAAATTTCATAAAATTTTTAATTAAAAAAATGATTATGATAATAATTGAATTTGTGAAGAATTTTATTAAAATGATTGAAAACAATTAATTTAGAAAAGAATTTTAGTTAAAAATTTTGTAAAAAAAAATGTAAAAAAAAGTCGAAAAGGTCATATAAGTGAAAAAAATCTTATAATCCGAGGCCTGAAAATGACTTGAATTTTTTATTTTGAATTTTATTGAATCTTGGTTTTTTAAAATTTCTTCGTTTTTAAAGAATGACATTTTGATTTTTTGGAATTTTAAACTTGTGATGAATAATATTAAAATTTTTCTTATGCTATGACTTCAAAATTTAAAAAAAAAAAATCGAAATTTCATAAAGAATTGTAAAAACAAATTTTAAAAATGATTTTATCAACAAAAAAAAATTTTTTAAGGGAAATATTTTGTTGATTTAAAAAATTTTCTTTTATCTAAAAATAATTGTTTTTACATTCAAAAACATTTTTTTAATATAAAAAATTCTTCATTTCAAATTAAACAATTTTGCTTGGCAAAGAATTTTGAATAGAAATTTTTAACCCTTTCAGGGGCAGTGGGACGTATACGTCCCACCTTTTTTGTTGTTGTATTTTTGGTATTTCCGGCATATTTATCTAATAATAATCATATATTTCTTATTTTTAGATTCTAAGGATATAATATAACGAATCTATAATATTGTTTATGAATAATTTATTATTGTTAACTTAATATTATTCCATCAATCTGGAAAATATGCATTTTTTTAATAATTAATTCAGCTATTTGTAAACGCGAAGTGCTACGACTTTGAAAATCTTTACTCGGGGGTTTTTGGGGTCCCTGATTACGAATCTGAGGTCAGTTTTTCAAAATTCAAAATGGCGGATCCAATATGGCGGACGACTTTTTAAAAATATAATGCAATTTGTATGAAACTCGTTACTCGGGGGTTTTCGGGGTTGCTGATTACGAATCAGATGTCAGTTTTTTAAAATTCAAAATGGCGGATCCAATATGGCGAATATATTGAATTTTAAAAAAAAAATGTCCGCCATATTGGATTCGCCATTTTGAATTTTTAAAATTTGCAAAATCTGACCTCGGATTTGTATTCAGCGACCCAAAAAACGTATAAATACGTAATAAAACAAAAATTTGTATGCTTAGAATAATGTGCCCCTGAAAGGGTTAAAATAATAGGGTCAGAATTTCTCATACGGATCACCTAAAATTCAGAAAGTTTTTTTTTAATCAAAAATCATTTCTTTTGACTCCTTACATGGTAAAAATAAGTCCCTGAAATTTTTAGGTCAAAAAAAAATTTTTTGTTAAAGTTATAAACAATTGAAATTTTTTGCAGTCTTATTTTAAAAAATTTTTTTCTCGACTTCCTGTTCACCAATTAAAAAAAAGGGGGTTTTCTCGTCTTAAAATGTATTTTCTAAATATAATTTTTATTTTGAAAAAATTTCATATTTAATAGATTTTTATATTATTTATTTATAAAATGTTATTAAAAAATAGTGTTCTTGACGTCCTACAGAAAATTAAATTTTTTTTTAATTCCCCACACAATTTTGTGTAAGAAACCGTTGAGAAAAAAAATGAGACTAAAAAAAAAATTTCTGAATTTTAGGTGATCCGTTTGAGAAATTCTGACCCAATGAGTAAAAAAAGTAGACAAATTTTCAAGAATCTTAAATTTTAGATTAAAAAAAAAATAGGATCGATCCACTGGAAATCATTTGAGAATGGTTGATGACGTATTTTTTAAAAAAACTACTTTTTATATTCAAAAATTGATGAATCTATAAGTTCTTTGACCATAATATTATTAAACAAATTTTTTTTGTAATATTAATTAAAAATTGGATGTTAAAAACGCGATGCCGTAACCTTAAATTTTGCACATTCAAAGAATGCAGGCCATTTTGTTATTTTTAAATATTTTTTAATTTTTCTACCAGATTTTTAAAGAGGAATGAAATCTATTTTAGATAAAAATAAAATCGGACAAGTGCGAGTTACACTCGCACTGAAATCGAGGGTTCCGTACTCGAAGCGAACTTATTTGGTATAAAAACAAATGTTTAAAAAATATGTGTTGTATGACAACTAATATAAGTGATACAAAAAGGAACAATTTTGTAAAATTCAAGAAAATTGTTCCTCTTCGTATCACTTATATTAGTTGTCATACAACACATATTTTTTAAACATTTGTTTTTATACCAAATAAGTTCGCTTCGAGTACGGAACCCTCGATTTCAGTGCGAGTGTAACTCGCACTTGTCCGATTTTATTTTTTAAAAAATATTTTACTAAAAAAATATAAGAAACATAATTTTATTCAACTCGCAATATATTTATTGTATTTACATTTTAAAAATATATTGAATATTAAATTTTATCTTTCTAAGTCAAAAAGAGATAAAACTTAAGATATTGATATAAGGCTAGTAGCTGCTTGTCAAGGAAAAATCGAAAGTTATCTAAAAAATAAAATTTGTTTATTAATTCCAGAAAAATCAACTCCAATCATCCTCGCTATATTTTTTTTGTAATCTACACGTAAAAATACGTCAAAATATATAAATTTGAATCACTGTAGAAAAACTTTTTTCGTTTTTTGCGGAAAAATACATTTTTTTCTGAAATTTATCATTTTTCTTCAAAAATTTGATAAAAATTGATCATCAACTCCAATCGCGCTTACATTTTTTTCCTGTATTTTTCACGCAAAAATTGAGTTTTACAGCAAGTATGAACAGTCTGGATTGAATATTGTGTGCGCTAGGGAGAATAAATCATTTTTTTCGAAATTTTTGATTTTTCCTTGACAACGCTATGTAAATTAATCCGAATCAAGTTCGCTATAATTTTCCTGTAATTTTCACGTAAAAATACGTAAGTGTGTCAAATTTGAGCTCTTTATGTCAAAAGATGTGGCCGCTAGGGGGGGGTACATACTCATTTTTAGGCATTTTTCGTAAAAATTCATGGTTTTTCCTTGACAACGCTATGTTAATCAATTCCAATCAAGTTCGCTATAATTTTCCTGTAATCTACACGCGAAAATACATATGTGTACTAATTTTCAGCCCTCCAGATAAATTTATGTGGCCGCTAGGGGGGGGGGGGTACACGATTTCAAAAAAACCGATATTAATAGGGTTCCGAACCGAGTACGGAACCCTAAAAAAAGAAAAAAATTTATTATCCCGATTTGACAAAATATTACACAGTAAATAATTAATGATTTTAAAAATATTAGTAATTATTATAATCAAATAAGTTTTTAATATGACTTGTTTCTTTAGGTTAAGTTAAGACCACGTGGTCCTCGTGGCCGGAAAAATATTGTGTTTCTCTTTAAATTTACAAAAAAAAACCCTTTGTAATTCACATGTTTATTCAGTAAAATATTTTTATTTTTTATAAATAATTATTGCATACCTTTTATATTTTCGTTTATTTCAATTTTGAAATTTTTTTCTTCTAATGCAGTTGCTTTGACGTTAACACTAATAACTTTGAACTACAAGTACAAATCACATTAAATCTTTGAATATGCATAAGGCTGTATTCACAATAAAACGTTAATGCGCAAGCTCGGAAATAACAGTTTAGGCTGTGTTTACATGACTGCTAATGAGTTGGTTTCCATTGTCCCCACTCGCCATAATTCTCGTCAACTACCGCATCCTGCTCTAGTAAAAATTTAGTGACTTTATTGTTAAAACTAAAAGTTACTGTAAAGTCACTAAATTTTTACTAGAGCAGGGTGCGGTAGTTGTGGAGAAATATGACAAATGGCGAGTGGGGACTTTGCATTTTTCGAAATACACTTACCTGATTGGTTGTCCACAATGAATCAGATTCTGGACAGCCAATCAGGTATGTGTATTTCGGAAAATGCAAAGTGAAGAAAATTTTTTACCGAAGGTGTAAATAAGTTAGTTTCGCCTCGTCACGAGATGGCGCATAGAATCTTCCGTACTTCCTCTTGCACCCATTGTAGAACCTCCTTGAACATACTCTTAAGTTAGGCGTAACTACTCAACCCTGACTCGAAAAATTTGTTTACTCTCCATTGGCTATAAACCTTACTACTAGTGGGCATATGGTGCATATATTTTAAAACATTATATTAATAGTAGTTTTCAATAATGGCGTCTAAAACTCATGTGAATAATGCAGCAAATGAACGTCGTATGAGACTAATTTATGGTAAATAACATAACTTATTTAATACAAAAGAAGAATGTTAAATCAATGACAATTATTTATAATTTTATATGTGAAAACTTTTTTTTTCTATTCATAAATACCGGCAAAGAGGTTATGTAATAGTATCTCTTTTATTTGATGAGTTTTTTTTAAATTTTTTAGACTGGCTCGACTTTGGAAATAATAAAAAAGCACTTCAAGAAGCCGATAAAGTTCTTAAGAAACATCCAGGCCATCAATGTGCAAGGGTTCTTAAAGCTTTGGCTCTTTTAAGACTCGGCAAAGAAAATGAATGTCAAACTATTATGGATCAAGTCAGAATGGAAATACCCTGCGATGATTCCACGTTACAAGCAATGAGTATTTGTTATAGAGAAATACACCAACGTAAGTTACGTTTAATTAATATTTTTTATTCATATTTCATTTACACACTAACGTTGGGGAATTGTGCGATCTCTGCTTTTTCGATGACTATATAAAGTGGTTTAAATTTGAGAAAATATTAAAATTAAAATTTTTTCCCTTTTTATTTTCTAAAAACTAAAAAAAAATTCTGAAAGAAATGACACCTTGACAAAGAGAATACGTTAATTTTTCAATTAGATTTTTATATTATAACTATTTTGTCAGTGTTCCGAAAAAATTGAAGTTTTTTACATAGATTTTTAATAATATTCTTTATCTTCTATTAAAATCTCACGAAGGTGTTTTGCTTCGTTTTGTAGATATATTTTTTTTCAATTTTTTACTTAAAAAGATTAATTAAAATGCTTGAAGTTAACTGACCAATTTCAAATCTCTACATTTTAATATTTTTTCATAGAAAATGTAGAGATTTGAAATTGGTCAGTTAACTTCAAGCATTTTAATTAAACTTTTTAAGTAAAAAATTTAAAAAAAATATATCTACAAAACGAAGCAAAACACCTTCGTGAGATTTTAATAGAAGATAAAGAATATTATTAAAAATCTATGTAAAAAACTTCAATTTTTTCGGAGCACCGACAAAATAGTCATACCAATTTCAAATCGCTACATTTTAATATATTTGTATAAAAAATGGAGCAGTTTGAATTTGGTTAGTTAACTTCAAGTCTTTTAATTAACCTTTTTAAATAAAAAATTTTGAAAATTAATATCTCCAAAACGAAGCAAAACACCTTCGTAAGATTTTAATAGAAGGTAAAGAATATTATAAAAAATCTTTGTGCAAAACCTCAATTTTTTCGGAGCACCGACAAAAAAGTTATAAGTAAATAAAAATCTTGAGAATATTTAAATAAAATTTTTTTTAAAATCGTATATCATCCAAAAATAATAAATTTTTGCAATAATTCTTTCGTTCCTCTGTGTAGAATAAAGTGATTTATGTTTTTGGCGAGTTCCAACATCTAATTTTTAATAGTTTTTTAATAATAGCGTCTTTAAAAAAATTGAAAAATTTAAAGTTACAAAATCACATTGTGAACCTCCTACTTTTGATATTTAATTACATCTTGTTTCATTAATTTCACAGAAAAATGTATTTTGTAAAATAAGCATCTAATTATTTTTTTGCATTATTAAAATTTATTAGAAGAATTAATATTAAAAAATAAAAAAAAAGTTATGAATTTTTTAGAAAAATGGTCATTTTTGTGTAAAAAAAATTAAAAACTATTTACAAAACTTTGACAGGGAAAAACAGAAAATTGACCGGAAAATGACCGTAAATTTATAAACATAAAAATTATCGCCACTCTGGTTCCTGTGTGCAGAATAAAGTGATTTATATTTTTTAATGAATTCCAACATCTAATTTTTAATTTATTTTTTTTCAATAATAGCGTTTAAAAAAAAATTGAAAAATTTAAGGTTACGAAATCACATTGTGAACCTCTTACTTTTGATAATTAATATTTTTAAAGGGAATACAATTTTTACCATAATATTATGGTTAATGAACTCAGAAAATTTTATCGAGTTTCACATATATTAAAACTATATTTTTTAAAAATGTGGTCTCAATGACTTTCAGTCAAAAGGCTAAAAAAAGTAAAAAAAAAAAAAAAAGATTAAAATTCAATTCTACAACAAAATATATAATATTTAAAAATCAAATAAATAGTGGCCACATGTAAGTAAAGTCAGAGAAGTATCAGGGAAAAAAAGTTTTGTCAGTAAAGTCAAGAAAATGTTAGGAAAAATAATTTTTTATCAGGGAGATTATAGAAATTGAGAAGGCCATGATATTCGTTAGTTTTAAAATAGTTCGAAACCATATTCTATTAAAATTTTTTTTAGTATTGTAATTTTATAATAATTTTTGTCAGTAGTTGAAACGTAAATCAGTTTATTTTGTACTTAGAAATGATGGAATTATTAAAAAAAATATTTTATTTTAAAATAATAATCGCTTATAAAATTTTTTTCTATGAATAAATTTCTTAATCTTTTGAAACTTGTTACCTTCTTTCTAAATGCTTCAAAAAATTTGAAGTTTTCAAGATATTTTATTACTATTATAATTGCTATTAAAATTTGGCGAATGTATTTTGCTTTGTTTCCGAAATATTAAATTTGTAAACTTTTTACTTAAAAATGTTAATTCCAGGTCATTAAAAATTTTACATCTCTCTCTATTCTCATAAAATAACAGAAAAATGTAAAAAAAAATTTTATAACTTCAAGTTCTAGAATTAACATTTTTCAGTAAAAATTTTCAAATTTAATATTTCGGAAACGAAGCAAAATACATTCGCCTTTTAATAGCAAATAAATTTTGTTGATAATAAAATATCTGTAAAACCTCAAATTTTTTGTAGCACCCAGAAAAAAGTTACAAGCTTAAAAAGAGTAAGAAATTTTTTCATTGGAAAAATTTTTATGTTCGTTTATTATTTTAAAATAAAATATTTTTTTAATAATTCCATCATTTCTAAGTATGAAATAAACTGATTTATTTTTTTGGCAAATAATAATATATGTTATGAAATAGTTTTTAAATAATATTTAAAAAAAAAAATTCAAACGATTTTCAGTGGACTGACCCATATTTAAGATTTTTTATTTTATTTTCACTAAAATTTTTTCTAAGTTTCTTAAACGACTAAATGCCATTCTCGGAACATTGCACACTCTTAAAATAATATTTTACGGCCAAAATAACCGTTTTTTGGTGTAGTGACGTGAAGAATTAATCATAACTTTCTCAATTTATAATCGATTTACAAATTTTATTTTTGTTTTAAGAACACTGAAAAAATTTTGGTGCAGCAGCTGCCCCAAACGAAAAATTTCTATATTCAAGTAACTTCATACCTAATATTTGCCATGTGTTTTTATATGAGTGAAGTTAACTGAATGTAGAAATTTTACGTTTCGGGCAGCTGCTGAACCAAAATTTTTTCAGTGAAGGAAAGCACACCTTTTTAACCATGTATTGTTCGTTTAGTCAAAATAAAAACTGACGATACTGAAAGTATTTGAAAGTATTTGCGATATTTTGATTATTCGATTTTGGAAATTTTAAAAATTTTGTATCTTTACGAAAAACTGTTATTTCTATTTAAAAATACATGGGAAATTTTTAGGGATTTAAAATATAGTTTAATGTTGATTTAAAAAAATTATATATATATTTTACAATGTATTTCAATCCTAGAGGGTGAGAGCAAAAGAATTTTGACTTTTTTTTCCTTCCATTTATTTTTGGACTATCCTTGGTATTCCACTGCGGTCGAGATAAATTAAGCGGAAGGTTTGACGTTCAGATACATTAAAGACGGAAATTATGTGACCTCCTCTTGATGATAATAAATCAACATTCAACTTAAAATAATAAACTAAAATATTTTTTTAGTTTAAATATATTTCTTAAAAAAAACTATTAAAATTCTGGAAACAATTACGCCGTAGTGAATTTTAGGGACTCAATTTTTGTTTGACAGAATTATTATTTTACAGAATTTCTCTTTACCAACTTGTTATTTAAAAAATTTTAATTTAACCGAAATTCGAATTTAGCGAAATTCTCATTCAATAGATTTTTAATTCCATCGAATTTTTAAATGCCACAATTTCTAATTCACCGAATCTTCATTTGTTTGAAGTTTTATTTGATAAAATTCTTAAAACGTCGAAATTTCATTTGACCGAAATTGCAAATGACCGACAAATGGAGAGAAGGATTTTAGGGTAAATTTAAACATTAACCAATCACAATTTTCTTTAATGATTTTTTATTCGGTTATTTTAAAATTGTCAGAAACATTTAGGCGCCAATTATAATTAACCTAATAAAAAATCTTTAAAGAAAATTGTGATTGGTTAATGTTTAAATTCGCCCCAAAATCCTTCTCTCCATTTGTCGGTCAAATGAAATTTCGACGTTTTAAGAATTTTATCAAATAAAACTTCAAACAAATGAAGATTCGGTGAATTGAAAATTGTTGCATTCAAAAATTCGAAGGAATTGAAATTCTATTGGATGAGAATTTCGGTTAAATCAGAATTATTTAAATAAATAATTGGTAAAGAGAAATTCTGTAAAATAAAAATTCTGTCAAACAAAAATTGAGTCTCAAAAAAATATGTTAATTAAAACTTCATTAATAAAGAAATTCTATGCAATTTTATTTCAAAAAAATGATAATTCGTTTAAAAAGTAATTAATAATAAAATTCTTTAAATTGAAAATTTTAAGTAAAGATTTTTACGGGAAATTGGAGATTTTCTGATTAATTTTGCTTAAAAATCTTATTATTTAATTAAAAATGTATATTTATAATAATTTCATCCATTTTCGGTACCGTTAATTTGATCACGCGTTTGTGATGGGTAAAGTGTTTTTGACAAAAGTTAAATTATTAAACAAGCGATTGTTGAATGTATCTTACGATGACTTCCTGAGAAAGGACCTGCCCGAAGGTGCGGTGATCGTCGGCTTTGCGGACGACGCGTTGAACGTGTGCGCTGCCGACTCGGCGGAAGCTCTGGGGACATTGGTGAACGAATGTCTGCGACTAGCAAAATGTTGGCTGGAAACCAACAGGGTCTCCAAATGACCCTGGAAAAGACCGAAGCATTGCTGGTCACAGACAGACGTGGTTATAAATCCCCACGAATCGTGATAGACGAATTCGAGATCAAGTGGAGGAGACAGATAAAGTACCTTGGTGTGGAACTGGATGGAAGGTTAAATTTCCATCACCACATGGCTACGGCATCGAACAAGGCAATAGAGTGTGCAGCGCAGAGATGCATTACTTCACGTATCGCCTCTGCTTATCGGACAGTATCTACGAGCGCTGTTCAGGTCCTTGCAAGTGTCCCGCCATCAGATCTTTTGGCGCTTGAGAGGGAGGAAATTATCCTCCTTCTCAAAAAGTCGAATTCCTCTGAAGAGAAAGATCGACCCAGCAAGGACCGCATCTGCTTCAAAGTGAGGCACAGGCTTCTCGAAAAATGGCAAAAAAAATGGGACGGGGAGGTAAAAGATCGATGGACTTATCGCCTTATACCGACACTCGCCACTTGGTTAGGTAGGAGCCATGGAGAAGTCTCCTACTATTTGACACAAGCGCTGATAGGTCACGGATGTTTTAATTCGTACCTGCAGCGCTTTAAAAAGATAGAGAGCGAGGAGTGTGCTTACTGCCAGTTCCCTGTGGACAACGCAGAGCACACCCTCTCCGCCTACAGTAGATGGGACTTGGAGAGGCAGGCCATGTTCACTGGTGTAAACGCTACAGTTGCACCGGAGAACGTGGTAGCGCTGATGATCCAGTCCCTGGAAAACTGGCGGTTCATCGAGACCTTTATCATCTCGGATATGATGTCTGTTATTTTCTGTTTATTTATTTAGTCTTCTTACAGTTTTATATTATATTTTATGTGTTCATCTGTCTTTTTACAATTTTATTTTTGACTTTGTTTATTTTACTTTTTATTTTATTTATGGACTTTTTATTGTTTTCTTTTCTGGTGTTCTGTTGATTACGCTTTGACATTGATTTTCGTTTTATTTTTAAAATTGATAACGCAGGATGTCCGCTGGACTGAACGAAGTCGCTTCACGACAGAGTAGGAGCGCCACCCTCGAAGGCAAAAGTCTTCACGACAGTACCGAGGGTGGATAAAGGACTCCCAAGAAGGGTTGACGGGTTTTAGTGGGTCGGGGCTGGTAGTAGTTCGCCAGCTTATTTCGTTTAGTGTTCTTCTCTTTTTTTTACCAACCCCACATAACCTTGGCATGCGGAAGCCAAGGTATACAGATTTCCCAAAAAAAGTTTTTTTCAAAAAGAGAACATGTTACGTTTAAGTTGAAAAAAGGAAAACTAATCTTCGGTTGGTAGAACTGCTATTGTAGTTAACATTTAAATAATTATTTATTTCTTACAACTGTAATAAAAAATATTAGTTAAAGTGGTTACAATTTAAATATTGGTTAGAATAGTTAAAAAAAAGGTTAATATTTAACTTTTCTGTAAGTATAATTTAAATATTTTGATTTTTGTAAATTTCAGCTGATAAAATCAGTGAGGTATATGAAGCAGCGGCAAAAGCGGATCCAAATAATGAAGAACTTTTGACACATTTATTTATGTCATACGTACGATTAGGTGATTTTAAAAAGCAACAGCATACTGCTCTTGCTTTATATAAACTGGTTCCTAAAAATCCTTACTACTTCTGGGCTGTTATGAGTATTGTTATGCAAGCAATGCAAGCCGACCAAAACATAGCTAAAAGAGTCACGTTACCACTTGCAGAAAGAATGGTTAGTATTTAATAAAAATAAAAAATTATTCACAAATATTAATTTCTACCACACTGGTTGTTGACTTTTTTTAAAATATTTTAATACATTCCCAAGGTTTTCTCAAGTTAATCGACTTGAGATTTATTAAACTTATTACAATTTCTTCAAAAACTAAAAATTAAGTTTCTTTTAAAACTTAAGAATGTTATTTTTTGTTAAAAAATTCTTATTCAGGAATCATTTGATTTTTTTGTAAATGAGACACTTCTATTGAATACATTTTTTTTTTCTACAAAAGGTGTTAAAATTAGTTGATGAAGATAAAATTGAAGCCGAACAAGAGGTCCAATTATATTTAATGATATTAGAATTACAAGGAAAAGATGAAGAAGTATTGAAGGTTTTATCTGGACCTTTAGCTTCTCGTATTTCAAATCTTGTACCAAGGAAAGCGCTGTTACTGCTCAAACTGCAGCAATACCCCGAAGCCGTGAGTGCTTTCAAGGAACTTATTAGTCAAGAGTGAGTAGTAGGGATAATACCAAGGTAGAAACATTTAAATTTTTTTAAAGAAAATCAAAAAAAAAAAAAATTTTCAATCGATTTACAGTAGGATCATTTTCATGATAGCTATAGTGGATATTAAGTTTTGTCTTTAATTTAATTTAATTGAAGTGAAATTAAGATAGAAAGGTCCTTCTGTTAAATGAATTTAATTGTAAGACGTTTAAAATTCTGGCGATTTGTTCTATTTTTTAGTCAATAACTAAGGGAAATTAGGTAAGATAATTCCTTGTAGGTAAAATTTTAATCCCTGTGGGTTTAGATGTCTCTAAAATTGAATATCTATTATTTGGTGATTTTAAAAACTTATTAATGTTAACAATTTGATAAATAAGCCAGAATTTTAAAGAATTTTACAATTAAACGTTTAATTTGGAAAATGACTTTACTGTATTTTTATAACAAATTCTTTTATATAATTCTTAAATTATTATTTTTTTTTAAATTTTAGTGCAGACAACTGGTCATTTTATCAAGATTATTTAAAAACTGGTTTGAAATGTCAAACCGTAGTGGAATGCCTAAATTTTTTAGATGAAACTGTAGGAAAAGTTGAAAAAAAATTAAGAGCACCACATCTAGCTCGTCTCGATTTGCTTAAAAGAGCTCGAGACTGTGAATTGGAGTGTCCGTTAGATCCTGTTGAAGATATGTTAAAATATTTTAATCAATTTGGTTCTAAAGGATGTGTAGTTAGTGATTTTAAAATGTACTTACATCTCTTATCGGCATCTGAAAAAGATATGCTACTACAAAAGGTAAGAATAATGGAGAATTAAATAAGAGTAGATAAAAAAAGTGTAACATATTTTAGAAAAAGAAAATCGTTTTTAGATCGAGAAAAGTATTGTATTCAATAATGAAGGATATCCAGATTCGGTAAATGAAATGCAAAAATATATTCACTTTGAACAATTAAGGCGACTTTGTGGAATGCATCATTCGCCTAAACTTGATTTAAAAGGAAGAATAGAATTAGTTCAACGACTTTGTGATCTTTATAAAAAAGGATGTGAACTTTGTCCAGAAGAAGAAAGATTACCTACTGACTTTTGTCCAGCAGATGTATATATTTTATTAGCTACCCATTTGCTGCATCAAATGTGGCATGAAACTGGAGAAGCAGTTTATCTTTATAGGTGGGTAAAATCTTTCTTTTAACTAACAAATATTTAATCCTTTCGCGGCTGAGCTTGGATGTCTTGCAGTTTTGGCTAAAATTTCAGCATTGTTTTCAATCAATCGCTCAGTACTTATAAAAATGTCGGTCACTAAAATTTTTTTGTGGATTCATATTCTTTAGTAACCCAGGTATTTATTTATGCAAAAGAAAATTAATTTCAGCATATTATAGAGAAAGAATTATACGACTTTTTCGACTATTTCCGACTTTTTTCGACTTTTTCTAAAAAATATTTTAAATAAAATACATTTTTTTTTTAGTATAAAATGCAGATCTTCTTCAGATCTTCTTTATTTCAATTATTTAACAAATTTTTAACTGAAATTCTTCAATAAATTAATTATTTTTAATAATTATAATGAAATTCATCACAAATTCAATTAGGTATTTCAAATTATTTTTTAATTAAAATTTTTATAAAATTGATTATAATTTTTAAAAAATATCAAATAAAATTACGAAAAAATTTTAATTTAAAATCAAATAAAATTCAATTATATTTAAAAATTTTAATTCAAAATCAACTAAAATTCAATTATTTTTAAAATTTTCAATATAAAATCAACTAAAATTCAATTATTCTAAAAAATTTTAATTTAAAATTAATTATTATCAAATTTGTTAATCCAAAATCAACTACAAGTAAATTATTATCCAAAATTTCAATTGAAATTCAATAATTTTCAAAATTTTCAATTCAAAATCTTTTAAAATTCAATTATTTTCCAAATTTTCAATTCAAAATCAAATAAAATTCAATTATTTTGAAAATTCTCAATTCAAAATCAACAAAAATCAAATTATTCTCAAAAATTTCAATTTAAAAGCTTCTAAAATTTAACTATTTCTGAAATTTACCATCTAAAATTTTTTGAAATTTAATAATTTCAATTATAACTCTCCTGAAATTCAATTTTTTTTATCTATTTTCATAATATTCTTCGAAAATTCAATGATCTGAAAGCATTTGGCAATTAAAAAGATTTTAAAGTTCAACTTTTGTCTGTAATTTCTGATAAATTCTTCAATTATTTGAAATTCAATTATTTTCTAAATTTTCAAATCAAAATCAAGTAAAATTCAATTAGTTTCCAAATTTTCAATTCAAAATCAAATAAAGTTCAATTATTTTCAAAATTTTCAATTCAAAATTAATTATTATCAAAATTGTTAATCCAAAATCAACTAAAATTCAATTATTTTCTAAAATTTCAATAATTTTCAAAATTTTCAATTCAAAATCAAATAAAATTCAATTATTTTCAAAATTTTCAATTCATAATTAATTATTATAAAACTTTTCAATGAAAAATCTAGAATCTTAAAGTAGAATTAAATTATTATCCAAAATTTCAATTGAAATTCAATTATTTTCAAAAATTTGAATTTAAAAGCTTCTAAAATTGAATTATTTCTCAAATTTACCATCGAAAATTTTTTGAAATTTAATAATTTAAATTATAACTCTCCTGAAATTCAATTATTTTTAATTATTTTTATAATATTCTTCGAAAATTCAACTATCTGAAACCAGTTTTCAATTAAAAATGTTTTTTTTAATTATTGTATTTTTGTCCGTAATTTCTAATAAATTTTTTAGTGAAATCATCAAAAATTTTTAATTAAAAATCACTTGAAGTTCAATTAATTTCAAAAATTTCAATTGTAAATCTTTGAAAATTCAATTGCTTTTAAAAAATGTTATCTAAAATTATTTAATAAATTATTTTTATTTCTTTAAAATTTAATTATTATCTGAAAATTAACAAAATCTTTTGAAATTTAATTATTTTTAAAAATTTTAACTTTAACTTTTCCAAAATTATTATTATTTAAAAATCTGTAATACTTTTTTGTTAAAATAAAAAAAAATTGAATTTTTCGACTTTTTTGGAATATAAATTGACTAAAACGACTTTTTTTGTGCCTTTAAGTCGATCCGAGGCCTGCACTTAATAGCTTATGATTATTTTCATTAAAAAATATATAAAACTTAAGTATTGAATAATAATTGTGTATTACTTAATAATAATAAGTTTATGTGTTTTCTATTTTAAAAAGTAGAATTTAATTCATTCGATGAATTAAATATTCCAAATGACTTAAGAAATACAGTAGAAACTAAATTATTTTTAGTTCTCATATTCGTGGTATTTGTGGAATAAAGGTAATTTTGAATTTTGAAAAACCAACACCACATTTGTAATCAGCGACCCTGGAAACCCTCGAGTAATAAGTTTCAAGTGAATCCAAACGGTTTAAAATTTTTCCTTCCGTCATATTGAATCAGCCATTTTGAATTTTCAAAATATTACGTCGTAATCGTAATCAACAACCTCAAAAACCTTAGAAAAAGAATAAAAGTTTACTGGTATAATCTATAATTATTTCTTGTTTATTTTAGGGCAATAGAGCTCCTTGAACGATGCTTAAGTACAAGTACTTCTAATTTTCACATAAAAATCGCGTTGACGCGAATATACATAGAAGTAGGTTTTATAGGAGCCGCTGATTATGTTTTTGTTTTGCTGGATGCAAAGCAAATTCAATTGGATTCTCTAGGATTTTTACATGTTCCTTTGCTAGCGCCTATGGGTCTTTTGTCACATGCATCGCATAATTTGGATCACACAGCGAAATTTTTCGTTGGCAACACTAAAGATGTATGATATTTAAATATAGCACATCTATAAATAAATTTATATTAATTCTAATTAAAAAAAAAAAAAATTATCATATTTTTAGAGTGCAGATCAATTGACTTTTGCCTATAAATATGGAAGTTTCTTGAAGATTCAAGAATTTGTTGATTTAAGGGAACGTTTAGAAAAATCAGTTTATTTTGCTATAACGACTGTTGATAAAATGCTGATTGAGTTGACTTGGAGTGAAAGCTCATCGGCTTTTTTGAATTCTTTGGCAAATATGCACGTTCAACCCTATGAAGATACAATTAGTTGGGATTTGCTAAGGGATAATCGAGATTTGGAGGTAAGATTTTTAGAAATAATAAGTAATTTAAATAAAGAAATAACATTTAGAGGTAAGATTTTAAGTAAATTCAAATAAAAATTTTGAAATTAAATTTTAAAAAAATCCTTAAAAGGTTGTCATTGGATGGGAACCAATTCAAAATGAGGGACATGATGTACGAATGAGGAAAGAAACTCGTGATTGTATGTTATGTTTACTAAAAGTTCGAAGTCTTATATTAAGAGTATTGGCATCAGTCACGGAAACAGATACAAGTATATTGTTTATCAAATTATCTCAAGAAATAAGAACATTAGTTGAAGAAACAATACCATCTGTTCTTCGAAAATTTCGAACGGACGATGGAATTGATAAAATTAATAGTGTTGTGATTCCTATAGACGCTGTAGTGCGTTTAAGAGAAATTTACGATTCAGAACAATTGATGGCAATTGTTCATCTTATAGAGTCTTTATCGCAATATCCTTATCCAGATATGAGTTGTATTGAAATATTGAGAAAATCTTTAAGTATAAAAATACCAACAATTCCAGAACAAGAGGAACCAGTTTCGTTTAATCAATTTTTTCTAAGAGCATCAACGTGCGGTGAAACTTTATCAATTTTAGGATCAATTTGTGCTGTTATCATGTCACAATCGAAACCACGACGTTCTCAAAAGAAAAATAAAAAAAAACAAACGAAAGAGAGTGAAGAACCTGCCATAGAAATAAGCCAGGTAACAAATTTTACACAATTAGTTATAGTAAAATGCCACGAAGGATATAATTGAATTAAATACAATTTTCTTTGTTTTTTTTTTATAGAATTGGTTAAATATTGAAGAACTTTTATCGGAAAGATTACAAAGTTTACAAACACTACTTAGATTACTTGATAGAACTTCAGTGGAAACGGGTTCAAAGAGCAATGATGAAATCGCTCAAAATATACAGAAGCAAATTTACACAAGTATTAATCAAACTTGTAAATCATTAAATTTCCGAGCATTCTGCACATTGAAACATTTGTCTGAATTAAAAAGCTGAAATTTTGAATGTAAAAAAATATTTTTTGTCATTAAGTAGTGGATTCCTGTTTTGTAAATATTAATCGTTTGTAATTATCATTTATCTCGAAAATCTTGTCAAGTCAGATAATGTTTATTAATGTACGAAAAACATTTTTATACATTTTTTGCAACAATAGAAAAAGTTGTGGTTTTTAATTAATATAAATTACTTGATTACATTTTCGAGAACATAGTCTTATTATTGCTTAAACTGTGACATATCTCTAAACTATTATTTATTATGAATATGTTTTATTTTTTATTCAATTAGAAAGGGTATCAATTTGAATTCAATTTTATGGTAGTTATTCAAGTGGGAATATTAATTAAATTTTTTAATAGGGTTTAAAAATTTCTTGACAGTTACCTAGTTCTCTTCTAATCAGTTTCTAATTCCATTGTTTGTAATTTAAAAAATTTTAATTAATTTTTATTAGCCCTCTAGATGTCTTTATGGTAAAAATATTGGTATAATTTCAAATATCTTATTTTCATTCTATTTTATATATTTTTTAGTAGTTACCAAAAAAATATAGTTTTGAATTTTTTTGTCCAATTTCCCATTTAAAAAATTGATTTAATTTAAAAATACTTTTGAAAAAAGGTAAGTTGGATTTTTTCGATACAGCTTAACCCCTTTCACAGGAGTGTAACAATTCAAAATTATCCTACCGGGTTTAATTTTCGTTGGATCACGTGATTAAAAATTCATTGTATCTTATATTGATTTTTCAGGGGTGGGAGATCACTTCACTAGCGTCTATTAGACATATCGGTACATTATTGAAAATTAAAAGTTAAATTAAATTAAAAGTTTTACATAAGAGGTATTCTTTCTCAAGTGGGCCACCCCTGCTCTCCATTACAATTTTGATGCAAAAACATTTTCTAATAGCCATAAACTCCCGAGTAACAAACTTGAAGCAAATACGATTAATTTTTCAATTTTACATCCACTATATTTGCAAATTCTATGAATTTTGAATCTTTTCAACCGTCATATTGGATCCGCCATTTTGAATTTTGAAAATCTGACATCATATTCGTAATGAGCGACCCTTAAAACCCCCGAGTAACAAATTTTAAGTAAATTCGACAGATTTTTAATTTTACTTTCGCCATATTGGATCCGCCATTTTGAATTTTGAAAATGTGACATCGGATTCGTAATCAGCGACCCCAAAAACTCCCGAGTAACAAATTTTACGCAAATCCGACAGATTTTTAATTTTTACGTCCGCCATATTGGATCCGCCATTTTGAATTTTCAAAATCTGACATCGGATTCGTAATCAGCGACCCCAAAAACTCCCGAGTAACAAATTTTACGCAAATCCGACAGATTTTTAATTTTTACGTCCGCCATATTGGATCCGCCATTTTGAATTTTAAAAATGTGACATCGGATTCGTAATCAGCGACCCCAAAAACTTCCGAGTAACAAATTTTACGCAAATCCGACAGATTTTTAATTTTTACGTCCGCCATATTGGATCCGCCATTTTGAATTTTGAAAATCTGACATCTGTTTCGTAATCAGCGACTCCAAAAACCCCCGAGTAAAAAATTTTTCGCAAATCCGACAGATTTTTAATTTTTACGTCCGCCATATTGGATCCGCCATTTTGAATTTTAAAAATGTGACATCGGATTCGTAATCAGCGACCCCAAAAACTTCCGAGTAACAAATTTTACGCAAATCCGACAGATTTTTAATTTTTACGTCCGCCATATTGGATCCGCCATTTTGAATTTTGAAAATCTGACATCTGTTTCGTAATCAGCGACTCCAAAAACCCCCGAGTAAAAAATTTTTCGCAAATCCGACAGATTTTTAATTTTTACGTCCGCCATATTGGATCCGCCATTTTGAATTTTAAAAATCTGACATCGGATTCGTAATCAGCGACCCCAAAAACTTCCGAGTAACAAATTTTACGCAAATCCGACAGATTTTTAATTTTTACGTCCGCCATATTGGATCCGCCATTTTGAATTTTCAAAATCTGACATCGGATTCGTAATCAGCGACCCCAAAAACTCCCGAGTAACAAATTTTACGCAAATCCGACAGATTTTTAATTTTTACGTCCGCCATATTGGATCCGCCATTTTGAATTTTAAAAATGTGACATCGGATTCGTAATCAGCGACCCCAAAAACTTCCGAGTAACAAATTTTACGCAAATCCGACAGATTTTTAATTTTTACGTCCGCCATATTGGATCCGCCATTTTGAATTTTGAAAATCTGACATCTGTTTCGTAATCAGCGACTCCAAAAACCCCCGAGTAAAAAATTTTTCGCAAATCCGACAGATTTTTAATTTTTACGTCCGCCATATTGGATCCGCCATTTTGAATTTTAAAAATGTGACATCGGATTCGTAATCAGCGACCCCAAAAACTTCCGAGTAACAAATTTTACGCAAATCCGACAGATTTTTAATTTTTACGTCCGCCATATTGGATCCGCCATTTTGAATTTTGAAAATCTGACATCTGTTTCGTAATCAGCGACTCCAAAAACCCCCGAGTAAAAAATTTTTCGCAAATCCGACAGATTTTTAATTTTTACGTCCGCCATATTGGATCCGCCATTTTGAATTTTAAAAATCTGACATCGGATTCGTAATCAGCGACCCCAAAAACTTCCGAGTAACAAATTTTACGCAAATCCGACAGATTTTTAATTTTTACGTCCGCCATATTGGATCCGCCATTTTGAATTTTGAAAATCTGACATCTGTTTCGTAATCAGCGACTCCAAAAACCCCCGAGTAAAAAATTTTTCGCAAATCCGACAGATTTTTAATTTTTACGTCCGCCATATTGGATCCGCCATTTTGAATTTTAAAAATCTGACATCGGATTCGTAATCAGCGACCCCAAAAACTTCCGAGTAACAAATTTTACGCAAATCCGACAGATTTTTAATTTTTACGTCCGCCATATTGGATCCGCCATTTTGAATTTTGAAAATCTGACATCTGTTTCGTAATCAGCGACTCCAAAAACCCCCGAGTAAAAAATTTTTCGCAAATCCGACAGATTTTTAATTTTTACGTCCGCCATATTGGATCCGCCATTTTGAATTTTAAAAATCTGACATCGGATTCGTAATCAGCGACCCCAAAAACTTCCGAGTAACAAATTTTACGCAAATCCGACAGATTTTTAATTTTTACGTCCGCCATATTGGATCCGCCATTTTGAATTTTGAAAATCTGACATCTGTTTCGTAATCAGCGACTCCAAAAACCCCCGAGTAAAAAATTTTTCGCAAATCCGACAGATTTTTAATTTTTACGTCCGCCATATTGGATCCGCCATTTTGAATTTGGTGAATTTTAAAAAAATTTTCTTTAATTTCGTAATCGTTTAACCTTTTTTAACATTTGAGGCCTCGTAAAATGTTGGAAATGATTTTTTTCTCTATTTTTGACTAAGAAATAAAATTGAAAAAAGTGTTTTTGGTTATTTATTCCTCTATATTTTTTTTGGAATTTAATATTTCAAAAAAGGCCACACGGCAATGAAAAGTTGACATTTTTACCTTTAATTTGAGCTATTAGAAAATGTTTTTGCATCAAAATTGTAGTGGAGAGCAGGGATGGCCCACTTCAGAGAGAATGCCTCATAAGTGTATTTTTATCTTTCGGAAGTGCTTGTATTTCTTTAATCCGCAATCGAGTGCGATATCAATTTTTATAAATTTACATTTCTGTAAATTAATTTTGGATAAACTTCCGATAAACTTCTTTAACTTAATTTTAATTAAAATATTTTTTTAGTATCGGGAGTGTTCGTAATATTTAAAGCCGCGATCGTATAATTAAAAAGTTAATAAGTTAACACGTTTTTCGGGAGTGTCGGGAATTTCTAAAATAACAAGTGAGTGTTTTTTTGTGCCAAGTTTGGAAATCTTCGAGTGCAGCTTTGAGATAAACATCATACGTAGGCGAATGGTGCAAACGGTAAGATTTTTTATTTTATAATTTATAAAGAAATTTTTTTAAAGAAATCCTAATTTCCAAATACGAATGAAATACTCGATAAATTAAGCGAGGCCAGATTTATTTCGATAGTCGATTGTGAGGGGAAAATAATTCTTGACGTTATTTCGAGAAACCTGGTCGCGCTAGGTGGAATAATTTGATATATTTTTCTTGTGAATTTCAACGTTTTAAACCTAAGACAGCCGAAATTATACGCAACCTCTTAATAATTTAGTGAAAAATTAGAAAAAGGGAAACGATAAAATAAAAACCATTAGCTTTTTATACATTAACAAAGTAAATCTTTACTTACACTGCCGATAGTTGTCCGCTACCAAGAGTCTAGTAACTTCTTGGTAGACCTTGCCGTGGAAGTAGGGTTTTTCACTAAAGAACTTCCAAAAACCAAGATGTAAGGTAAGGTGAAAAAAATATACATATATGGAAAGCAAAGGATTAAATAAGGACGTTTACAGTGCAGGGGAGCGATACCCCAGTGACGGAGCTGCTGGAAGTGAGCAAGTTGACTTCCTAGCGTTGGAATCCAGTGACAAAAGTGATGCAGTATCAGACACCTTGTGTGCTGCAGCATTCAATATCATAATGAGGATATACCATGGGAGCACCCAGTTTCTTAAGGTCGCCCAAGTTCGTTTGATAAGACTTGGAAGTAGAAGAGGAAGCACTTTAAGCGTTTCGAGTGTCAGCAGCGGAAGAAGTTTGATTCCGTCTGACCTAGACAACGAGACAATCGAAGAAGAACGCGAGATGTGTTTAAAGTTTAGGTAGAAGGAAGTTGAGTTTCTTCAGAGGATCAAAGAGGAGATTGCGAAGATGGCAAAGTCTTGCGAAGTCTAAAAGAATGTTAACATGAATATTAAGGACGGACTTAAGACTCTTCAGGATCTTGTCAGTGAAATGAAGACAAAGCACGCCCTATAGCAACCTTGGTGGCGCTATTGGCAATGCAAAGGTGAACCGAGAAGAGCGAAAAAGAAAAAGAGAGCGTATCCATCAGAAGGAGCTTTGGCGCGCAGTCATAGAGACGTAGAAACGAAGAAAACGCTTTGGCAGTCCGCAAAGGGCAGACGCCAAGAAGAAAAAAAGAAATCAAGAAGAGGCGCCTCTTGTCAAAAATATTGCGAAGGTGACGGTAACTCCAAATCCTAAGTAAACCATTAAGAAGAATGTGACGAGTGGATCTACAATAGTAAACCGACTCGCAACAGAAATAACGTATGCCGACGTACTAAGCAAACTTCGAAAGTAAGTGAATCCCGACATCAGCCACAAGCAAGTTGTGTGCGCGAAGCATACTAAAAGGGGAGATCTCCCAATTAAAATTGGAGGAGACTCTAATAAAGAGAAATTTACCCCTGAGGTCACCAAAAGCAGTTTGGAGCATTGGGAAGGTGCAAGTTGTGGACCTACAAGTCACATTGGAGACCCGCGACCTGGATTGCCTTACCCAGGAAGAGGAGGTCCAGCAGGCGTTGGCGGAAGTGCTCCAAAAGCCAGGAAGTAGGAAGGTGACGGTTCTAGGACCCAACTGACGAGGAATAAAGATTGCAGTTGTAATCACCGACCCAGATGAGGCGGACAGGCCACATAGGAACAGTTTGTAAGGCAGAGGACAGATCGACTGCGTGCTTCAAGTGCGGTGAAATCAATCATAAGTTTGCAAACTGCAGTAGAAGCTCAAACTGTTTCTTATATAGAGAAAAGTATAGATATTGGATATCAAGATTTTCCACTTCCCTTGTAAAAAAATCGTTACTTAGTTAAACATTTGTTTCTGTCAGCGTCTTGCCCCTCTCAATCAGTCAGCTGTCGAATATTCCTTGTCAGCGTGTCATGAACTTGTGTTGTGGTAGTTTTTCAGCGTAAATAAATTGCGTATTACGTCGTTATCTGAGTATCAATGTAGGTTGTCGCTAAAATCGTCTAGGGAAAAGAATGGAGCAATGGGGTTGACCAGGATAGTTAAATTTCCTAATATATTTCAAGGACAAATATTCAAAAATTTTTTTTATTCTTAAATACTCAAGCACTTATTTACTTGTCCTCAGTATCCTTAACAACGGTAAATTTTAAGGCTAAATAAATAAATCCGAAGAATTGTATATCTTTTAATTCTTTGTTGTTTTTTATTAATTTATATTTTGTATACAAAACGAAATTTTTGCTTTTAATTTTTAACGTAATTGTTTATTAATTTATTTAAGAATTTTTATTTTTTAACAGAAATACTTATTTGATTTCATTTTCTGTAATTCAGAGAAACAGAGAATCCAATTAATATATGAGTTCGATTACTAGTCCGAATGAACGTTAAGTAGAATCTCTAATATCGTAACTGTTATAAACACATTTTTTCTACCATGCATTCCTACAGTCTCAAACACTCATTCTTTCTTCGTTTCATACTTTAACAACGTTGTATGTATGTCCATTATTACAACTTTTTTTTCAATGATAAATATAATCGCTTTGAGTGATTTTATTGTGAATTACAGATAATAATACTAATGAAAATGGTATGATGCAACTCTTGTTTTCAGGTTAATGTGTTATTAAATTAATCTAAGAAATAGTGTAACATAGGTCTGAGTTTAGCTCAGAATTATTTTCTATACGTACCTGAATTTATAAATTAGTTATTTAAAGTACGGCATATGTTTTTCAATAGAGGGTGCCTCATTCTGCGTATTTATTTTAAGCGAATTATAATTATCTTTTAAAACATAATTTTACATTTGTATAACAATAATAGCTTTTATATCATGACGACTTCTTTAAAAGTATATAAAAGTTTTAAATGTTTTTTGATCCTCTTAATTTTTTTCTAAAAATCAAAAAGGTATACTTGATAACATTGTTTTTTTCAATTAAATTCCAACATTATGGAATAAGTGTTTTGTTATAAAAGCACAAAAATGCTCCATATCATTATAGTTACATATGTATGCTGTTTTAGATAGATGTCCACTAATATTGCGCATTTCTTACGAAGCCCTAAAAATTCAATACTACGTACAGCAGTGTTAAACGATGTCTTTTTAATTTGCATTAGATTTAAGCATATTTTTATACTTAAGGCAAAGTCAATTACAAACCAGAAAGTAATCGTTAAACATTATTGTACTTATTTTCGACACGAATGAGTAAACTAATACAATATATATTTGCATATATAAACTATTCCGTATATATTACTTGAAGCAATGGTAATTAAGTTTCTTAAAGCTCTTTTATTTTCTCATTTCGATTTTTAAAACACCCAATTCGTGAGTATCTAAACTTGCTACAATAAATATCTACACTGCCGACTAATCACTTTTGTTCACTCTTAACAAATTTAATGCTATAAATAAAGTTTCATATTTCTATTTTCAATGATGTTAAAGTGGGTAATGATGTTTCTGAATTCACCCAATTAAATAGAAATTTGAAACTTGTTTAGTGACCTTTAATGATGCGATTATTACTAAAATTTTGACTAAAAAAAAATTTATCTATCCAAGACAACAAAATGACAAGTTTATTTTTATTAAAGGGGATGTCATCCCTAGAAGAACAGATCGACTGAATTATTGTTAATCGAAGTCGTTCTCAAGTCGTATTATTGTGATTTAAGAGTATTTTTCAAGAAATTTCATAAATTTTTCGACAAAGACTGAAAATCTATTTTCGTAGTTTAATTTTTTAGGGCTTTATGAAACGAAATAACAATGTCTCTATTAGAGACATTAAAATTATATGAAAGATCAATTAAATTTAGAATACAGAATTGAAATTCAACTTTGTAATTCCTATAAAAAAAAGGATTTCATGCATTTTTCTTAAGTCACAAGAGTCCGACCTTAGAATCATTTAACAGACATCACTTATTTGTAACACACGCCGATTCACTGTGAGTGTTGATGCACACAATTCTCTTACAATCGACAAATATCAACAAAATACTTGACAAAAATTGATTAAAATATCTTGAGTAAAATATATCTTATTTTACTCGTGGAATTTAATTTTTTTACCAAAAAGTTCAATTCAATTTATTTTACTCACATTACCCAGATCCACAATTTAAAGAATTCGATGAGATGTTTTAAAGTATTATCTATATAAAATTCACACAAATTTATTAATTTATATGAAAATCGTTTTCAAGATATTCTTGTCAGCTAAAAAGGAATCTGGGGTTAGAAATTGCTTCTTTTATTTGGATTTTACTCTTAAACACTTCTCTTTTCATCTTAATTTTAAGGACTGACAGTTTGGATGCGATGTCATCATCTGGCCCTGCCAAGGCTTGGGTAGATACTCGATCAGGTTATTCCTATCAGGCCTTGATAAATAATAATTAGGAAAACGTATTAAATTTTTTTACTTAATTGTAAAAAAAACTGTTTTCTTTTCGAACTGAAATTTTTTAATTTTAGAAGGCTCATGTCAAACTGTTGTTGTCGTGATTAGAGATTATGAATTAGCACAAGTGATAAGTAACATTTTTTACTACTTGGCATTCAAAAATTTTAGTGCGAAATTAATTGGAAATACTTTATAAGAATTTCAATAATAAATTTCAATGAAAAAGCAATGACCCTGTGACGTTACAATATTTTATTTCATTTATTATAGAGTTGTAAAAAGAATTATATTAAGAGTGAATGCAGCTCAGTCCTTAATAATTTAAATATTATAAGATGTTTTCTACTAAAAAACAAAGCAGCAACTTTTATTCATTAAGAAAAAATTCATTTTACCACTCTATAATATTTAAATTAAAACATGTAAAATCTATTACTAATTGGGTTTTTTGAATTTTCCTTTATTGGACATACGAACTTGTCAATATAGTAATGTAACGGACTGATCGATCTAGTATATATATTTTATATTTGGAGTTAATATTGTGCTTAGACATAGAATAATGTCCCATGATTTAGCAGAAGTGAAAAAATTTAAGTTTAATAGCGACCCTGTAAAAAAAGAAATTTCGACTAGCGTTTTTCGAATTTGAGCGTTGCCGTAGTAATCAGTAAATATCACTGTGTTTAAATTAAATAATTCATATTATTAAAGTTCAAAAATAATGAAATAGTATTGATAATTTTCATTAAAATAACAAATGTGGAATTCATTATTTTATATTAATAATACTGTTTTACTTTTTGGAGTTTTCAACTTTAATAGCATGTATTATTGAAAGTGCCCTTCTAGTCTATTTTTATTTTGTGGCCTGGAAAGTTTCGCAAATGAAAAACCAATTACAAATTCGTCGAACTCTATTTTTTCGAAATACAAAGATCACCTTCGAATTCTTCTTTGTTCACAGGGGAGTATAGTTTTATATGGCGTGATTAATTACTATTTACAAACGCGTATGCATTTAATGGAAATCATATATCTGAAGCTACATTTTTTTTAAGAAGATGTCAAGAGAAGTAACCTACAATTTATTTTTGTCGCTTATAAATAATGAAGTTAAAATTTTTTTTAAATATATATATAACAGGCAAATCGTAGATGGTAAGGTCAACAAGCATTTTAAAAAATATTCCCAAGTCATAGTTGTTTCACAAAAACTATTTGAAAAATTCTTTACAAAGCAGTTGTCTGTAATCTTGCTGAAATATCAACGTTTGCTTAATCTACCATCAATTCAAAATGCACAGATCCACGTCTTTCAAATCTGTCGTGTATTATATTCCTCGCCCAGGCTTTACACTCAATGTTGATTAAAACACCATCTATAAAACATTGTTGAAAAATTCAGTATTAATGAGAAACTTTTATAAAGGACACTAAATTGTTATCTTTATTACAAAATATTTAATTAGAAATGCAACGGCAACATTGATTTTACAACGTTCTATGTTTCAGTCAGATTCTGCAGATCCTGTTAAAAATTATTCTAAAACAAAAATCGGCGTTTTCTTAATACATCAATGTTTTCAATTTTATGAACAGTATTGATACTCCACACGGAGAAAAAAAAAGGAGAACCGCTTAACCCGCCGGTAAAGCAGTTCTCTTAAACGAGAGTCAGCTGTTTGACCGCTTAGAAAGTGAGCCGTTCGCTTCTCGAAGGGGTAACGAGTACGCTTTTTGAGGAAAGCGGGTTAGCTTTCCTGAAGGTGAAACGACAAAAGGTGAACGGTTACTCCTCAAAAGATAAACGGTTCTCCTTTCGCGGCGAAACTGCTGCTCCCTGACGAGTGAGAACAGTTCACAACTGCCAAATCAAGCGGTTCTCCTTTTTTTTCTCCGTGCAGTCGATGGTAAACCTTCGGTAGACCTAGTCGTAGTGGTAGAGCTTTTCACTAAAGGACTTTCAAAAACCAAGATGTAAGGTAAGGAGAGATATATGTATGGAAAGCAAAGGATTAAATAAGGATCGTCGAAATCTAATAACAACAGTGCTGCAGTATTGGAAACCTTGGGTGCTGCAGCATTCAATGCCACAAGGAGGATGGACCCTGGGGGCAACCAGTTTCTTAAGGTTCCCCAGGTCCGTTTGGAAAGACTTGAAAGTAGAAGAGCAAGCGTTTCGACTGTCAGCAGCGGAAGAAGTTTGATACCGTCTGCCGTAGACAACGAGACAATTGATAAAGAACGCGAGAAGTGTTTAAAGTTTAGGTAGGAGGAAACTGAGTGTCTTCAGAGGATCAAAGAGGAGATCGCCAAAGTGGTAAAGTCTTGCGAAGTTCAGAAGAATGGCAACATGACTATTAAGGACGGACATAAGACTCTTTAGGATCTTGTCAGCCGCTGGCAAATTGTATGCGCAAGGCCAACTAGAAGGAGAGATCTCTTAAATAAAATCGGCGGAGACTCCAATAAAGAAGTATTCACCGCTAAGGTCATCAAAGCAGTTAGAAGCATGGCAAGGTGCAGATTGTGGATCGACAGGTCACACTGTAAATCCGCGACCTGGATTGACTTACCCAGGAAAAAGAGGTTCACCAGGCGTTGGCGGAAGTGCTCCAGAAGTCAGGAAGCAGAACCCAACGAGGAACAAAGCTCGCAGTTGTAGTCAGCGACTCAGAGGAGGCGGACAGTCTGGATCAAGTGGGACACAAATGGATTGGCTTTATGTGTTTGCCAATCAAAAGAAGGGTGATTGACGTTCAGTGCCACCGGTGCTTGGCGTATGGCCACATAGGAAAAGTTGGTAAGGCAGCGGACAGATCAACTCTGTGTTTCAAGTGCGGTGAAGTCGATCATACGTTTGCAAACTGCAGTAGAAGCCCAAGCTGTTTCTTATGTAGAGAAAAGTATGGTGATAAAGCGAACATTAGCCATATCGCAGGAGGTGGACAATGCGGATTCTTCAGGACGGCCCTTGAGGAGTCTAACAAGACTCGCACGGACGAAGAATAAACAGACCAGAAAGATCGTCAACGGCAGGGGTCGCGATAGCAAGATCCCAGGGACCTTCACCTACGAAGTTTAAAGCTTGACGGCTTTGGATGTCAAGGCTAATGCACAGTTTTCACTTCCCACATAAAAAACAGTATTGATACGCTATTTTGAAATATCAATGTTCCATTTGCATCTCTAATATAAGATATTTAAATTTTAATTATCAACTTACATTTTGGTTTCTCAAAAAATACAGCAACGAGTGGACTCAAATAGCCTTTTGTATTGGTGAATGGAAAATAGAAGCCAGGAAAGCCTCTTCGTGGTATATACTGGATCGGACCAATGTTTTCAACATCAGCTGGATTTTCACCTTCGCATGAGACCCAAATAGTGTCCACTGATTTAGGGTTTCTAGATTTTTCATTTAAAATGTGCATTTTTAAATCATCAGGCATGTTATTTGGCAAATTCTCTGTATCGTTGTAATATTCTGGTAACCAGCCAAAAATCTGTAGCAAGAGAAGGTAATTTATCTTTCTTATGCAAAATAGCAATATCCCATTAGGAAAAAGTATTTCCTGTTCTTAAATTCTTACATATTTTTATTATACACTAAGATTTTTAAAGTCCTTTGGTAGATACTGCGACTTTTATCTTATATGTGTAACACTCCCTGGTAAAATTCTAAACTGTTTTTAAACTAATCTGGAATTAGTCTGAAACAGTCATTTTTATTGTCATCTGGAATTAATCCCGCTAAATCCGAAATTTGCTAAATTTGTGTAACTAGTGAATCCGGAATTAATCAGGTCTAATCCGAAGTAAGTTTGATCAAACGTAACTAATGAGTGCAGATTTTGTATTTACTGATTACACAGGCCGGATTAATTTCTGATTCAATAGAAGTAGTTTTGCTTTTATTAGTTGTGTATGATTAAATTAATTTCCGATTAGACCGGATTTACCAGCCACACAAATAATACTAATTTCGAACTTTACTGATCTAATTCCGCATATAATAGAAACTCGACGTTAAACCGGACGGTTTTGGATTAATTCTATATTCTGAAGTATTAACCAAAGTAGTGACTATTGGTCAGAAGGCAACATATCTTTTACGCCGACAGTGAACAGTTCTTATGGAACTTGAGACTTATCTCAACTGCGAGAGAACTGCACCTGGCGGTATGAGTAGGAACTGTAATAAAAGCAGCAAAACCTTAGTAAATCCAGATTGTTGCGGACTAATTGCGGATTTAATACATACAGAATGTCGGATTACACCAAACTCATTGCGGATTCAGATTTTTAAACGGAATGAATCTATCTAGATTGTACGAAAATCTGCAATCTGCAATAATCCAGAGTTTGTATGTAAGGAATTCGGTATTATCAGTATTTCATGTTTTCGGACTATTCTGGACTGATCACGGATTTATCTTTTTATCCAGACTGATTGCTAAATAATACGGATCAATTTCGTACAATTTCTGGACTAATCCGAACTGATCTGTCTGTATTTAATCTGATGTCAGTCTAAAATTTTAACCAGGGTCTTCTGAATCACTAATAATATACTCTTCTTAATATTTTTTGAGTTTAAAAAAATTTAATACAAACCTTATTTAACTTCAAGAAAATACATGGTGCAGATTTGTGATAATTGTAGCTGTTAGCTTTTGTACAAGGAGTCCATGCCTTCACGTCTACATCACAAACTTTTCCAGGTGGTGGTGGCCTACCATAATCACAAGTTATTCTTTGATCTGCTCCAGTAGATAGACTTTTGTCATAACCTATTATAAAAATTAAATTTCTTTTACATTATTTCAATTAACTTACAATCACGATATAATATTGCTATTGTATTATTTTAAGTGAAATAAAAAAATTTGTCAAAATTTGACTTTTACGTCAAAGTCAAATGAACTTACATAATTGACACTTAGAACCAATTTGAATAATGAGGGTCGTATGTAAACACTAATAACGTAAAAAGTTTATTTGAGACAGGAAATGCAATAGGTATGGGTAGAGTGGATAAAAATTTACTTTGATTAAAAACTGGCAACATCCTTTTTTACTAATCATCAACCTTTTCCTCTAATATTGCCTTTCTTAAAGAATATTTTAATTTGATTAATTTTAATTTATAATATTTCAAAATTCTAACCCAAATTTTTTTTAGGAATCTATACATTAAATAATTTTTGATTTAATTTGAATACATTATCCGGACTACAGAAATTTTTATGATGTCAGAACCTCACGCTTGGATTTATTGTTTAAATAATTCCGAATTAGATCTTATTTGGTCCATTTTGTTTTTTGTTCTTCTGCCGAGTGTAGACATTTACTCTTGCTCACCGTAATTGCTTTGGTATAAATAATTTTGAATTACTCATCTTCTGGATTCACCTTTTGCTGTCTGGACTGTATTATCAACATAGATCTCACCTCTTTCCCACGTTTCAACTGTGGTTGACGTATTTGATTCAAATCGGAGCCTGCTCCACTTTGTTTTACTCCAGGAAAAGTCTTTTGGCTTTATCAGTGTTGCTCAATTCTTTTGATTGATTTATTTTGTCTTTTTATAGATAAAAATTTTCATTGTAATCCATTTCACGCATAACATTGTACTTAACCTATGTGTTCGATTCTCTCAAGTATTCTTCCTACGAAGTCTATTTGAACGGATCCAATGTATGGTAAAATCATTCTCTTCTTGACCGTTTCCAAGTGAACAGCGTATTTGATTCAATCTCAAATTTCTTATCATCTGGATTTACCTTTTGCTATCTGATCTGTATAACCAACAAGGATCCATTCAGATTATTATGGAACTTTTTCGTCTTCTAGTTTATTATTCTGACACTTGACTATGCTACAAGTCATTTAAGAAGACGAATTCCCTAGTATTGTTTTAGCGACTACAAGGAAAGCTTTAATAAATATTTGAGATACTTAGATTTTTTATAAAAACAAAGTGAGCAGGCAAATTTTCAAAATGTTTATTTCGTTCCCGAATCAACCTTGATCGACGAACAGTCGGAGCATCCTCTTAATGATGGTGGTGAACTGAGAACTTTACATCTAGGTAAAAAGGGGTGCTCCTTTACTCACCTGGACGGTGAACGTGAAAAATGGTACTCGTCTCTACAATCTCTCGCAGAAGCTCCTACAGAGAAATCGCGACTATGACGTTATAGATACTAGGAAGGTATCTTTATAATCTCTTGAAGAAGATAATACAGAGAGTTCTTGAAGACGAGGAACATGAATGTCAAGGAGGTTCTCTTGACACGGTGGGTCAGTCAAGAATACCTTCGTTTGCTCTATCTGTATTCCATGGGAAGCTCCTCAACTGAATACAGGTAGTTAGGAGTGAGATCGCTTCCAGTTAGCCAGAGTAGTTTCTCTAGGAGAGTCGGAAGGCGACTGAGCAAAAAAATTGCGAGTCGCCAATTATATGTCTATCACTAGGAGCTAGCTGACAGTGAGTGATGGAGGAAGAGAGTGACATTACTAGTTACGCTGTCTACTTTTTCTCTTCGCCGACCGACTATACTATCGAAATTTCTCTCCAGGGAAGCTTGGGATTGGAAAAATTGTTGCTAAAAAAGAGTAAATAGATAATATTCACTCCTTCCTGTTGCAACTAAGACAGGTGTCCTTTCGGGGAGACGGTCAACTATACTTGTTCCACTCCAAGCTGAGATTCATTACAAGAGATGAACGACAGTTCAGATTGGTCCTCGTACATTGCGTCTCATCACCCAGGATATTTGGAGGTGTGGCTTTAAATTAACGTGATCTTCCTACCTCTAAAATATTCCCCACCGTCCAGCAGTATCCATGTCTCATCTCGCCCTTTGGTGCCTTTTCCCTTTAATCCTTTTTTACACGAATTTCCTCTAAACTAAAGAAAACTCGTGGTATTCAAAAACGCGATAACTAATAAAAGGCATAAATATTTGATCCCTTCAATATAAAATATAAGTTTATCTATTTCTATCTTTTTTCTATCAGCAGAGGAATCATCTGGTATATCCAGAGAACCATATTCGGTTTTATTTCCATTGATGTTCCTATTGATTCTCTACAGACCCAAAAGGTAGTACAGAATTGTAAAAATGGAAAAGGAAGAGTAGAAATGTAAGATAAATAAAATAAACGAAGACATTCGGACCAAATGTACCATAATGTAATGTAATGTAATTAGCAACCACTTGACAGACTGCAGGAACGACACTTTTCTTCATTTTATAAAATGGGATGATTTTAAAATTTTACATCCAGAAAAAAATCTTAGTAAACGATTATTTGCAGAAATGTTTTATATAAAAAAAGAAATAAATAATAGTTTAAATAAAATTACAGATTTAGATAATTTTGATAAATCATATGAAATGATTTTGAATTTTATTTCAAATTGAAAATTCTTCTTGAAAATACTGATTATTGCTTGTTCTCGGTTCTTGTTTAGTTTATATAAGTATTAATTGTCTGCTTTGTATGTATTAATTATTGTAAGGAAATAATAGTGTTTGGATTTCAGTTGATGTCGTGACTTGATGGTTTTAACTGACTAAAGTTTGACAACTGAATTTAATCAATTTATTTAATAGTTTCAATGTTTTAATATTTTATTTATTTAAATGTGATGTATAATTTATTGTAATAGTCATGATTGTTTGTGATTTTTGGAATTTAGTTATATTCATGCTATTGGTTCGTAATTAATTTATTACCTATATTTATTTATTTATAATTTATGTTAAGTGTTTATTTAAAAATTTTAATTTTACTTTTATATTATTTTTATATTATTTATTTAATTTCCTTAAATATTATTATTAATCAATATATTTTTATTTATTATTATTTTCTTTCTATATTTAGTCGATGACTCCAATCTCTATTGTTTTCCAACGTTTATTCTATTTTAATTGTACTTGATGAATTTGTGAATTATGATGGATGAAAAATGGACTGAAATGAATTGTGATAATGAAATCAATCATTCATTTTTAATTTTTATTATTTTATTTATTTTGGTATGAATTTTATATTGTTAATTTTCTGAACTCCTTTTTGTTAGTATTAATTTTTAATTTATTATTGTAATTTGATAGACTCCCTGAAGAGGAAATCGTACAGATTTCGAAATGTTGGATAAATATATTTATAACATTTGGTCCGAATGTCTTCGTTTATTTTATTTATCTTACTTAATACTACTCGGACGTAAAAGATTATTCATAGTAGAAATGTAATGGAAGGGTAATAGTGGAAGTGGAATGGTAAAACTAAAGAATGGTGAAAGTAGAAGGGTGTATAGATAAGTGTTTTAATTACCTTCAAGAAATTTGTTTAGTGCCTTTGTCCAGTGACCATAATTGCCTTGGTCAGTTGCTTTGTACCAGATCAACGTACTTTCAACGTTACTATCAGGTGGCATGGGACGGAATCCAAGTCCTGGATTGTTACCAATTAGAGATTTTTCTCGTTGCCATTTAGGTTGATTTGGATCCAATGTTTGATAAAAGACTGCCAGCATAGCGCCAAAGAAACCACTCAGTACAGCATAAAAGATAACGTAGAACAACAGGATTTTAGCTGAAAAAAAATATTTATTAAATAACATACATAATAAAAATAATACAAGGTTAACAATAATACAGATATTCCTAAAACATTTAACAAAAATGTTTCATTCATTAATATTCCTTGGGAATATTAAAACATTCCTTGAGGTTGTTTTTGGATTGTTGCTTGAAAATATTTCCAAATTATTTCTTGTAATTATTTCTGAAATGTTTCTCGTAAATATGTTCCTAAGTTAATTCTCATAAATATCTTCAATTTATTCTTCGCGAATCTAATTAAATTATTCTTCGGAAATGTTACAAAATTTATTATATATTTTTTATTTAAATTTGTAATTAAATTTTTTTTTACTTCAACTTGACAAGATAAAACGTCATTTATTAAAGAAAAATGATTGAAATAGAGAAAAGTAAAAAGTTGAGTTAAATATTTTTATTGATATAAATATATAAAATCTGAAACGAAATAAAAAATGTTTGAATATCAAAAATTCAATTTGAATATGCCAAAGTATTAAAGTTATAAAGTATCATATAGTTTGTTATTTATGAGATTTTTCTTCTCGCGAATTCACTTATTGTTAGTAAACCCAGATAAGAATGACAGACCAATTATGATTTGCAGACTAATTGACCTGAAAAGATGTTAGATACGTACGATATTGCAATTGATGGTATTGTGGGATAGTTCATCTTAAATTTAATAATAAAGTTACATTTGTTTGTTAATCATAATGCAAATAGCGTTTTTTGATTAACAAATTTCAATTTAATTTCATTTAATTTAAATTTCAAAAACCTCCGTGTAATAATTTTTAAGCAATTTCAATTAACTTTTAACATTTTTTGAAAAATTGTCCGCCATATTGGTTGCGCCATTTTGAATTTTTAAAATCTGACTTTAATTTTGCAATCATAAATCCCTGAGTAACAATTTATAAGCAATTTTAATTAAATATTTACATATTTTAAGAAAAAGTCCGCCATATTGATGCCGCCATTTAAAATTTTTGAAATCTGATTAGTAGCAAAGTACAAAAAAGTAGCAAATGGTAACTTTTAGTAGATAAGTGCGAAGCCTGAATACTTTAAAAAAAATTATAACCGATTCTTTGATCCGACTCTTTAATTAGAAAATAACTCTAGTAGTAAATAAAAAGTTTGAAAATTAAGAGATTTTAAATAAAAAAATTTGCTAAATAACTTTTATTTATTTTTATTGCTTCCTCATGGAGGAAATCAAATTTGTAGAAAATGTCGCTCCGTGTGTGTGTAATAAATATCTCGAATACTATAAGAGCTAAATGGATAAATTTTTTTTTAATTGTAGGTTTCACTGGCGGACAAATAACGAGAGTACTTTGATCCATATTAATAAAAATTAATTAATTAATTAGATTAATTAATTATCTTTTTGCATTTAAACATTTTTTTAAAATCGTTTTTTACCCATAACTTTAAAAAAATTTTTAGGACACCTACAAATATTTTTTTTTAATTTTGTAGAGTTTTTTAAGGCGCACATTTTGACCTATTAGCGAACATTCTAGTGTTATTCTATACAAAGTTATTGAATTTTTAAAAATGATAAAAAATAATTTTTTTTCCATAACTTAAAAAAATTTTGAACATCAATAGATATTTATCTCTAGTTTTGTAGACTTTACAAAACGTATCTTCTAACCTATTAGCGAACATTCTAGTGTTAATCTATCCAAAGTTATTGAATTTCTAAAAATTAGAAAAAAAAGTTTTTTGCCCATAATTTAAAAAAAATTTTAGGACACCTATGAATATTTTTTTTTAATTTTGTAGAGTTTTTCAAGACGCATCTTTTGACCTATTAGCGAATATCCTACTGTTATTTTATTCAGAGTTATTAAAATTTTGAGATTGAAAATTTTTTTAAAAACCTGGCATTATTTATTAAAAAATCTTAAAGTAACTTTTAAATTATTATGAACAATTTGGAGAATATTTAAAAACGAATCAATTGACCTATTATTGAACCTTTTATTGTAAAATATTACAAAGTTATTAATGCTAAAAATTTATCTCTGCAAACGCCCAAAAAATACAACTTAAAACCTTTTTAAAATTATTTTAATACTAAATAAGTTACCATAATTTTTTTTTATTATTTTATTTTTCATTTTTTTTAACACTCATAAATTCAAATTGTTGAAAATAGTCTGCACTGCGCCAGTGCAAAAATGGCTGCCATTGAAGCAGCGCTGGTTTAGAGGAGAAATAAACCCAAGAGTGGTCAAGCGCATCTAGGCGCAGTCTCCCAGCACGTTATGCACTACACATACACAAACCTCATAGTCGAGGAAGAGTACCCAATTTAATGTTACATAACTGTTACAAATCAGTTGTTTATACATTTTGTTACTTCCTATTAAAGTACAACTATATAATCGATATATAATCGTTATATAATCGCATTTAATTGGCTCTTTATAGGGAATAATTAATTTTTTTTTAATTATTATTATGAACTATTATCATTATAATAGATTTTTATTTTTTGTAAAAGTTACATTTGCGCTTTTTTACATAGTTATTATAAGTTTATTCACTTTAAAAAAAATTTTATGATTAAATATCAAAAGTTATACAATACTACAACTACTACATAACATCTACTGTAATATATCATATATATATATATGTATAAATATATAGATAAACCAGCTATATGTTCATCTTTAAGATTTCACTTTTTGTAATGCACTCCGACTTTTGAAGGGCAAAGATTTTTTTTTACACTTCAACGAATTCAAAGACTAAATTTATAAGTTGGACAAATTTTTTTTTTTTCAATTTTACAGTCACCACTTTTTATGGAAAAAAAATACGTCTTAAACTTTTTTCCAACTCCACCTGTACCACTCTCCCCTAACCCTAATTTACTTAGCTTATTGATTATTTTGGACGCTGAACAAACTTGAACAGTGATTCTCAATAGTGGCAGAACTAGCAATAAGTTATTTTACAAAACATTATATATAGAATTTATTGTATATATGTATTTTTTTTTTAATTATAAAATAATAGTTTAAATAAAATATGGATAAAAAAAAATTTTTTTTTTTCAAAATATTTTGCAAGTTTTTCTTAAAACAACTATATAATATATTATTGAGACATTGATTTATTTTTTTCTTCTTGATGTATATGAAAAATATCTTCATGTTCATAATTTATTAAGTAAATAAATTTATTTTGCTAGTTAATTATTTATAGTATTTTACTTTGTTAATTAATTTTTGTATTTTTATATTATTTATATTTACGATCTAATAACAATTATTCAAAAAAATTCTTTAAAAAATTATTATTATTTATTAAATTAATTAACAAGTAATCGGGTTTGAAAAAATAAAAATGATCTTTTGTACTAAAAATACTAAATTCTAAGAAAAAAAAATAAAATTATTATTATATTATTTGCATGTTAAAGAATTTTCTCCATTTTTTAATGAAACAAGAGAAAAATAAAATTTGGCATAAAAATTAGTATATAAAATTAAAAATAATAAAAAATATTTTATGGAATCTAGTTAATGAAGACTGAAGTTGTAAAGCGCTATAAAATTTTTCTATCAGAATACTTGAGCACAAATAAATTAAACGCATTTTCAATTTACAGTTTATAGGACAATATAAAAAAATCAATTCTTAAAGTTAGAAATATTTTCAAATGTTTTAAAAATGGAAAATTTACGATTGTAATTTTAAAAAAAAATTTTTTTTTCTTATAAAAAAATTACTTCTCTTTCATTCTAATGAGATACAAAAGATAATTAACATTTTTTTAATAAAACATTTAAAAGTATTAAATTTAAAATTTTTTGCCAAAGAACAAATAATATATTAACAAAAAAAACAGATTTTAAAAAAATTCATAACTCAAAATTTTTGTTACTTACAAAAAAATAAAAAATACATATATATATAAATTTTTTTGCATTGAACGAAAAAAGTAAAATATATTTATCTGAATTTAAATTATCATATAGGTAAATTTCACGTGGAAGCGCCCATATATAAAATTTGTTAAATTATAAATAAATATACAAAATAAATAATTGTTTTCTTAAAATAAAAAAATATGAATATAACACGGGATTACTACTATTATTATTATTACTACTATTATTATTATTATTACTATTATCAATTATTGATTTGAGTTTGGCTTTAGGGTTCATAATTAATTACAATAAGGGTAAATTAACAAATACTAAATATGTCATTACTATTATTATTATTTATTTATTATTATTATTATTATTATATTTATTATAATTTATTACCTATTTATTAATAATTGTTAAGGTTGTCAATTTCCGGTTATTTAAAAAAAAATTGAAAATAGATTTCCTTGTAATATTTCTATCGAATAATTCTAAATGTGTTAAGAAATAGTTTTGCAACATAGATCTAGATTGAATAAATATTTGTTACATAATGTTGTAACATTATTACAAAATAATATTAATAATAATAATAATAATAATAATAATAATAATAAGATAAATATAAAACAATATTTCCTATACCAGCATTTACTAAAAAAAAGTCAATTTTCGTGAAATACAAGACTGGAAAAAAATTTCTCAAAAAACGCCCTTTTGTGAATGATTCTCATTAAATAAAATGGAAGAAACAAAATTTTCCAAGTTTATTAGGTTTTCCCTGTTGGTAGGCAGACTAGAAAACAAGTTTTTAGTTAATATACAAAAAAAATTTTGGATCGATAACTGCTTCCGTTCAAGTACAATCGTGCACATCTTTCAGAAAAAGAACGTTGTAAGAAAAACTCATTTTGAGATTCTACATTTTTCTATACCAAAAATGATAATAAAAAAATATGTATTTATTTATGTGAACAAAATTTTGAAAAAGACAAAAACTTAAAATAAAAATCGTAGAAAAAAGTTATAGAACAAAAAATATAGTTTTTTTTATATAATTAGTTTTTTATATAATTTATTTAAAAATTATAATTAGGCACCCTAATATTAGAATACATTTTTTTAAATCAGTTTTTCACTTTTACGGATTGAGTAGTACAATAAATTCGAACTTACTATGAAGATTGCAAAAAAGGTAATTAAAAATTAAATTAAAAAATATTATTTCAAAAAATTGTTATTAAAACCAAAATTACCATTAACTGGATATAAATAATGGCCTGTTAATAATTTTTTTGAAAAAAAATATGAACGTTATTTAAAAAATACAAAATGGCTGAACTTTTCCTACCCTTGTTTTATCTTCCATAACTCCACAAATTGAAAAAGTTAGTTTCCGTAAATTTTCACTAATATATGATTATTAATTTTTTCAAAAATAAAATGTTTAAAAATGTCAAAAAAATCTAAAAAAAATAAATATCTTTTATCATGAGATTATTTTGGAACTTCTAATCAATATTATGTGCAGCATTATAAATCAATGGAACACACCTTCAGATTTTTTTTTTTCCTACCAAAAAGTAGAATTTTTATTTTGTCAAATATTTTAACAATTTTGTTAATAGTTTACTGAAAGAAAAACAATTCTACCCCTTTATAAAATTTAGTAAAAAAAAAAAAAAAGAAAGAGCATATCTTACCCCAACTGGAGCCAGTTCGACCCATAAATTGTCCTGTTTCCGAATTCCAAAGGAATAATCGAATACTTTCCCATTTCCCCAGCTTTGGTGGTCGCTGGTAAAATTGTTCCTTTTTCCCGTCCATGGACTCCAGCTTGAAAGTTTAAACTTTTTTTTCTTGCGAATATAAGAAACAAGTTAAAGTAACTTGGAAATTACTTTTTGTCTATATATTTATGGACAATTGGAAAATTTTTATTAGATAAAAATTTCACGAGAACACAATTTTTTTTTTTATTATTTTGTTTTTCCGCCTAGAATTTCGTTTTCTTTTTTTACTATCACCACTCGACGTTATCGCATAGCCGAGGGATGAATATTGAGCGATCCAACTTCTCGGCCCAGCTACGACCCTTGCGACTCTTCAACACTGCGCAAGCTTCATTATCGTATGTACCAAGGCAAACCGACCTATCCACTATCACGACATATCGACTCCCAACTTTATCCCTTCCGTATTTGCAGCGGCGTCATATACATTTATACATAGACGTCATCGTATGGCTGTCACTGTTGTCCAACTAGCTTCGCGTAACATACTTTTTTTTTTTCTTCAAATTAATAGATAGAGGACGAATTGATCAGAGCTGCCGATAACTTAATAAAAAAAAATCTTATAAATACATTTCAATATGATTCGAGAATAGTTTTTCCTTCAATCGAGACATTCCATCAAACATATTATATATTTTAGAGTAAGGTTCATTATACTGATAAGTTATATATATTCTTATCATTATTAGGTATTCCAAGTTCTGACATCATTTCGCAAAGATAACTAACTTTTTACTATATTGCATATACTATAAACAAGAATGCTAAATGCAAGGAATAAAATTTCAATTTTTTTATTTTTATATAACACATTCATAGCAATGATAAAAATTACCAAGTGAACACTGTTATAGAACTAATTTTTTTTTCAATTTTTACTCTCACTAATGCGTTTTTAATATTTGAACCCTTCAACACCTGCGGGCACAGTTATTTTTTTAAATTAAAAGAAACTAGATTTGTTTACCAGAAGTTTTGGAGGTTGCTAATTAAAAACTTTGATCTTGTGGACATTGATACAATCTTGTGAAAACTATTTAATTTCTACAAGATAAAAGTTTTTAATTAACATCGAAAAATTTTGGTAAACAAATATTTTGGATCTAGTTTTTTTGATTTAAAAAAATAACTGCGAATTTATAAACAACGATTTTGAAAACCTTGAATGAATATGTTTAAAGTAAAACCAACTAGTTTTTAAACATTTTTTTTATATTGGATCAGAAATTTTAATATTAAATTCGTAATCTGCGACCCCAAAAACCCCCAAGTAACAAAATTCAGGGGAAACTAAACGATTTTTCAATTTTTGTCCGCCATATTGGATCCGCCATTTTTAATTTTTGGAAACTAACCCCAGATTTTTATTTCGTATTCAGCGACCCCAAAAATCCCCGAGTATCAAGTTTCAGGTAAATCTATACGATTTTTCAATATTACATCCGCCATATTGAATCAGCCATTTTGAATTTTTGGAAACTAAAACCGGATTCGTATTCAGCACCCCAAAAACCACCAAGTATCAAATTTCAGGGGAATATAAACAATTTTTCAATTTTTGAACGACATATTGCAGTGAAAAAAAAATTTATTTGGATCAAATAAAAAGTATTTGATTCAAATACATTATTTACTTGTCAATTATTCAATAAATATGTATTTGAACCAAATACACATTTACTGCAACTAAGTATTTTATTTTATCGTATCAAATAAATAGTTATTTGAATAAAATACAAAGTATACAAATCAAATAAATAAAATATTCAAAGTTAGTAAAGAATTATTTAAATCAGTTATGAAAATTATTTCATTCAATACTGCATGTTTTTTGATTCAAATGAATATTTATTTGCATTATGAAATATTTTTCTTGAAACAACTAAAAATTTTCTTGAATCAAATATTCCATTATTTATCATAAGTAATTGTTTTAATTGAAACTAAAACCTCTTTAATTGCGACTATTATTATTTATTTTATCTGATCCAAATACATAATTCAATTGCATAAAATGTAAAAAATTTTTGAATCAAATAAACCAAAATTTGAAATGAATAAATAACATATTTATTTATTAATTCTTCCATTTATAAATTAAATTCTTACTCAAATAAATAAATTAAAAAAATGTAATTTCTGCATACTATGACCGAATATTTCCATTTTTCAACTAATTCATACATAGAATTAATGATTAAACGCAAACCTGAGAAATAAATAAATCTAACGCATGCGGGAAATCGAACCTACGACCTACGGATTATGAGTCTAACGCTTTACCAACTACGCTACGCACGCTACGAGAAAACGAATGTTAACTTCTTTGATTTAAACAGCTCTAAAAAAATCCCTTTCAAAGTCAAATAAAATTAATCAGCATGTTTCTATTATTTTTTTACCTTAAAACCACACTATCACCTTCAAAAAACCTACCAATTGAACCTAAATTGCAATAGACTAAGAATAATCAATTTTATTTCATTTTTTGGATAGAATGTTTTCCTGGAAAATGAAAAAATCCCTTTCAAAGTCAAATAAAATTAATCAGCATGTTTCTATTATTTTTTTACCTTAAAACCACACGTATCACCTTCAAAAAACCTACCAATTGTACCTAAATTGCAATAGACTAAGAATAATCAATTTTATTTAATTTTTTTGGATAGAATGTTTTCCTGGAAAATGAAAAAATCTAGACCTGTGCAAAATAAATGGAACCGAACTGTTCGAATTTTTACGCCGAGTTCAAATGTCGAAAATTCGACATTCGAGTCAGCCCAGTTCGAATGTCGAAATTCAACATTCGAGTCAGCCCAGTTCGAATTACAAAAATTCGACATCCGAGTCAGCCCAGTTCGAATGTCGAAAATCCGACATCCAAGTCATTCCAATCGAATGTCGAAAGTTCGAAATTCGAGTCAGGGTCATTAAAAACCGAACAAAATTCGATTCGATTCGAACATTGCACAGGTCTAGTGTAAATATATTTTTATTAAAAACGCGTTTTTCGTTGTTCTGAATCATTGTAAATATTAATTTTTTGTTAATTAAAAAAATATTTCACTTTTGGACTTAGAATATTAAATAATATGATCAAAATATTTTATTTTCTTTTAATAAAATAATGTATTAACATTAAATAACGCATTATTTATATAAAATAATTTAGTTAATTAGAATCAATAAAATAAATTTATTGTATCAAATATTTTTTATTTATATAAAAAAATGAAATATTTGAGTAAAAGAAATAAATTAATAGTTGCAAATAACTCATTATTTTTGTTTCAAATAAACATTTAATTGATTAAAATATTTTTTTATTTGTCTTGATAAAATAGTGTATTAGTATTAAATAATTTAGTTGACTTGAATCAATTAAATAAAGTTATTGTATCAAATACTTTTTATTTGTTTCAATAAAACGAAATATTTGAGTGAAATAAATAAATTAATTTTTTCAAGTAAATCATTATTATCGTTTCAAATAAATATTTAATTGATTGAAATATTTTTTTATTTGTCTTGATAAAATAGTGTATTTGTATCAAATAAACGAAATATTTGAGTGAAATAAATGAATGAATAGTTTCAAGTAACTCGTTATTTGTATTAAATAAATTCTTTTATTCAATTCAATTAATTATTTAATTGAACCAAATACGATTTATTTGGTTTAAATAAATGCGATTCAAATAATTCAAGTTATTTGAATCAAATACATATTTTTTTTAATCTAAATAAAAAGTATTTGAACCAATTAAATATTTTTCAAATAATTTGAAGTATTTGAATCAAATAAATTTGTTTTCAGTGTGGATCTGCCATTTTAATTTTTGAAAAGTAACATTAGATTTGTAGTCAACGACCCCAAAAACCCCAAAGTATAAATTTTCAGGGGAATCTAAACGACTTTTCAATTTTTGTCCGACACATTGGATCCGCTATTTCGAATTTTTGAAAACCTACGCCGGATTCGTAATCAGCGACCCCAAAAACCCCCGAGTATCAAGTTTCAGGTAAATCTAAACGATTTTTCAATTTTACATCCGCCATATTGGATACGCCATTTTGAATTTTTGAAAACTAACATTTCTCAGTTCAGCCTGGGTGTGAAAGGATTAAGGCAAGATGTGCAATTTTCCAGCCACTTAAGGCCAGATTTAGAAAAAAATAAATAAGCAGATCCTATTCAATCTAATAATTAAGTTTAAATGAATACTATAAAGGATATTATAATTTAATTAATAATCAGTATTTTTATTGTTGAAATAATTTTACATCCGTTTTTAATTGTTATGTTGGTGATTAAATTTTGACGAGGCCTTGATTACAGAAAACAGGTGTTTAAAATTCTTTAAAGAAATTAATTGTTTAAGGACAACATGTTTCGACAGCACATACTGTCCTCTCCAGGTCTAATGCCTTTTTTTTATAAAAATAATAGTAATTAACAATAATTAACATTTGGCGAATGACGAATTTTAAACAGCAACATTTTCCTGTAATGAGTATTATTATTAAATATTAATTATTTTTAATTAGGTACTTATATAGACTATTAGTCTAAAGATTTTCGTAATCCATAAGGAATGTATATATATATATATATATATATATATATAAAATATAAACTAAAACCAGTTTACCATCCATTTTTTGTCTCATTCTGCATTTTTTTACATAATTCGTATTAAACGTTTACAAATAAAATAGATATATAATTTTCTGTTTCATAATAACTCTTCGTTATAATTTATACATCATCTTATTTAAAATTATATAATTAAAAATCAAATATACATTTTAAGTTCTTATACAAACTTTTTTATATTTCTTTTCTTAACTTGTTTATAACAGTTGTTATCAAAATTAAATACATACTATTCTTCTATTTTAGAATATTAAAATTTTTGAAAACCAACCCTCAATTTGTTATCAGCGACCCCGTAAACCCTCTAGTGATAAGTTTTGTGCAAATTATTTAATTTTCAAAAAATCGATGGCCATATTGTATCTGCCATTTTGAATTTTAAAAAACCGATACCGGATTTGTAACCAGCGTCCAGAAAAAAAATCTGTAAAATATTAAATTTGTATAAACTATTTCCTTACAATACACATTTCAATTTCTTTAAATAATTGTAGGGAATAAGGAAATAAAATAAAGAATAATTTATTATCATCAGGCGATCGTTGTAATAGAATGGCTCCAAATCCATCTTGACTGGCATCCGTGTGGACCTCTGTTTCGTGACTCGGGTTGAATATTTTTAAAACAGGCTGGTTCGTCAACTGTTTTTTTAATTCGTTGAAAGCATGACGTTCAGGTTCGTTAAACTAAAAAACTTTATCTTTACGTAACATGTCACTTAAAGGTTTCACAATTATCGAATAAGACTCTATAAATTTTCGGAAATATCCTGTCAAACCTAGGTACCTTTGTACATCCTTTATCGTTCTGGGTTCAGGATAGCAAATGACAGCGTCAATTTTAGATGGAGACGGATGTACATTATTGTGCTCCACGATGTAACCTAAAAAGTCGATACGTTCTTTCATGAATCTACATTTTTCAAAATTAAATTCTAAACCATATTCACTGGCTACTTTAAAAATTTTAACCAAATGCTCGTAAGCCTCTTCCATCGTTTGAGCCTTTATAATTATATCATCTAAATAAAAAGTCATTATTCCCAGAATTATTAAGTCATGAAAAATATAATTAATAAAACGTTGAAATACAGGCGGCGACAGGCAAAGGCCAAAAGAAGCTTTCAAAAACTGATATTGTCCGTTGTGTGTAACAAACGCAGTGTACTTTTTACTGCATTCATCAATTTCAACCTGTAAAAAAGCATTTTTCAAATCAAGTGTACAAAATATATTCGAGTCTACAAGTTTATCTATTTCATCTTCGATTAAAGGCAATGGATGTCGATCTTTAACAATAACTCGATTAATTTCTCTATAATCTACGCAGAGTCGAAACGTACCGTCTTTTTTTCTAACAACAATAATTGGACTTGCGAAATCTGAAGAACATGGTTCAATTACACCAGCATCGATCCATTCTTGAATTTGTTTATTTACAAATTCTCTTTCTTCAATTGATGACCTACGCGGACTTTGATAAATCGGATTTTCGTCTATAACAATAATTTTTAATTTAATATTCGTTGTTTTCGTTTTTTTATCTGACGTATAATTACTGATCAATTCTTTAAGTTTACCTTGTATTTTTTCGTCGGGAATTGAATCAATATCGTTTTTAGTTTGTTCAGGCAATTCTATTTTTGACAAGAAAATTGCGGGTTCTGATTTAATTACTTTAATTCCATTTTCATCAATTTCTAATCTCGCAGATTCTAACAAATTTCGACCGATAACTAAATTCTTTTTCATAGCGTTGTTAGGAATTACATAAATAGTTAAAGGATAATTTTCACTATCTAAATTAACTGTCGTCTGTATATATCCTAAAGTTTTTACTTCGCTGTTACCTAAACCTGAAAAAATACGCTTTGACTTAGTCATCTTTAATTCATTGACGTCAAATTTAAGAAATAAATCCTCTCGAATTAAAGTAATCGGACTACCGGTATCTATTAAAGCTAAAGTTTTTTGACCACACACAAATGCTTCTTTTACCGCTTCGTTTTTAATAGGTACATTTACAACATTTACATTTTCGTTGACATCATTCTTCGACCTACCCTTTCTCGGTTCCGTACACCTCGCTGATACATGTCCAAATTTATTACAATTGAAACATTTTGTACCTAATCGTTTCTTATCGCAGTCCTTGGAAAGATGTCCACTCTCACCGCAATTGAAGCATTTTCCATCTGATTTTGTTTCTCTTGTTGTCACTTTCTGTTTAACGTCGTCCATGAAATTTTTCCTTGTAGCATCAAAACCTTTCGTGAAATTATTTCGAATCCTTGCTTGTTGATTGGTTTTATTTACACTGTTTCTCACTTTTTCGTACACTTTTAGTTTTTCTTTAAATTCACTGACAGTCTTTGCACCATACAAATTTGCTTTATTATTCGTTTCGTCATCGAGTCCATCAATCACATATTCAAATAAAGCATCGTTTTCAATAATACCTTTAGACAGTTCCTTCATTATTAAACAGTACTCTTGAACAGTTTCACCTTTTTTAATCTTGCGCTCATCTAATTTTTTGTGAATCTGAGCACTATTCACTTTAGTAGCAAATTCTTCGAGCATTAACTTTTAAAACTTATACCACGTTTTCACTGTCCCTTCGCTTTGCATAAAGAGTTTTGCCACTCCTTTTAAAGTCTTCTTGGCAAACACTACCTTTTCTAATTCTGACAACTGAAACATCACAGCGGCATCCTCGAAGTCAGAAATCCACCTTTCGACAGGATAATTGCTGACACCGTCAAACTCGCGAACAAAGTCCTCGACATCTCTAAAATTAAATGTAAATTTGGACTTAATTCCTCGATTCGTTGTTCCATTTCGATACATTCTCGGACCGTTATCTTCAGAAGAAACACCCATTCCCCCTTCGTTATCATCGTCTTCTCCACCGAATTCATTTCCACTACCGTTCTGATTGTTACCACCGTCTACAATTTCATGCTCGTCGTATGCTCCTTCGTTATTATCTACTCCATTGTCGTCTGCTCTGTTTGTGCGAACAGCGCCACGGCCATCAGCTAAACCATTTCGTCGTCTGTTCGGTGCATGTTCGTCTATGACGTTTTCGTCATCTTTTGGCGGAACGTCATCGTCGTCTTCCGTCATTTCATCGTCGTTTTCATTTAAATTCGCCAACTCATTAATGTCAATTAAACTTTTCAAAATTCGCTCACGCACTTGTTCTTTATTGCCTTCGTAATTTATTCCGAGTAAATTACAAATAGACGTTAAATCACCAAATGAAAGTCGGCTAACAAAATCCATTTTGTTTCTGTACTCTTCCCAAGTATCGTTAAAAGAAAAACCCGAAAACTCGCGAAGGCGTTGTCGATTTTTCCTATCGCCGTCTTCTTCAAAAATGAAACGATGCATGGCCAATATGGCTGCTCGCGGCGCTACCTTTATCTTGTCTGTGCAAATCAACTGCGTTATCGTCGTTTAAGAATTTAAGAATTCTCTTATCGTCGTTGAGAAATCTTATGGCGTCGTTTATCGTCGTTTTTCAATACACAGCACTTTTACGCAGAATATTTGTTCATAACTCACAAGACTCGCGACAGCTCATATCCCGGACGAACCCCCATTTTGTAGGGAATAAGGAAATAAAATAAAGAATAATTTATTATATTGAAAATGAACGATATATATTAAGAATAAAAAGAGTCGTTACATGATGACTGTCGGCCAAAAACTGAGGTTATACATAGATAGTGTTCGTTTGCGAGATCTATGATCAGCTATGCGCATGAGTTGCAATAAGTCGAGCGCCAACACAATTCAAATTCAAATAATACAATAATTTTAATTATAAAAATATAACTATCCTACATAATTAAATTATCATATTAATAAACCAACTGGCCAAAGTCATCAGATTACTAGTCAATCTGTAATAAAATAAATATCATAAGTCTCAAGGCGATTGAGGATCTGTCAAAATACTACTGGCAGCCATTTTCCTATGGACTTCTTACATCAATCAATTTAATATCGGTTAGTTCAGGAATCTGCGTTACCGACCTTCTGACAATTTTTGACTTTTTCTAAATCTCTAAGTAAATATTAATAAATAGTAAAATAGGTGTTACACAAACAACAAATTGTTAACGTTTCAAGATCGGTACCAATCTTTTCATTCAGATTTATTTATTATTTAATTCTGAATAATAAAATTAGGAAAGGATTGTGAACTAAATATAAAAGAACCAAATCTGTTTAACATTGTTGAGAAATTTTTATTTGTTGAATATTTTTATATACATTTAAAAGTGAATGTTGGAAATTTATAATAATTTGTTACATAAAAGTTAAGAAGTATCACTTGCACGCAGATCGTATTTCCATTTATTCGCTCGCAATTATCACATATTTATCATAGAAAAGTCGCAAGATTAATCTTTTTATTTCCAAGTCCTATGCCCTAATATAAACCCAGTAGGCACCAAGATATCTTTAGAATGACTTTAGAACGTTCCAAAGTGTCCTAGGACATTGCGTCAATGTTCTAATCCAAAGACATAAAAAAAGACGACTTAAAGATGCCCAAAGTATATTCTGTGTCTGCTCTAGAACAGTCTATAAAAATGTCCTTAAATTGTTCCTAAAATGTCTTAAATACGTCTTCAGAAGGTCCCTAGAATGTCCTAAAAATATCCCCGAAGTGTCCAAAAACGTTCTTAAAATGTTCTCAGAGTATCCTAAAAATCCTGAGAATGTACCAAACATGTACTGAAAATATCCAAGGAAGTTCAAAAATCTTTGATAACCGAAATAAATATTACATTAAAATTATGTATACTTCATAGCCTAAAGCGCGTGTACTGTATTAGGGTATTAAGTCTTATACGCGGAACGACCCACAACACCGAAGTGCTCATGAAGATCCGAATAGACAAAAAAAGTACATCGCGATTACTGGTCATATATATTGATCCTCATGGGCTAATTCGCCAAAAAAGGATTATTATAGGTTCCAAGAATGTACCAAATATGTCCTAAAAATGTCCAATAAACTTCTTTGTAATATCCTCAACATGTCTAAAAAAATGTACTGAAAAGTTTCAAATTTTTTCCAAAATTTTTAAAAATTCCCTTAAGGTTTCTTAAGGATATTTTTGTAACTGCTCTAGGCCAGACATAGAACTTGTTTAGGATGTCTTTATTTCATTCTTTTTGTCATGTATAGGATGCCTTTTTAGGGGATTTTTTGGGATATCCTAAGGATATCTTTAGAACGACTTTTTAACAAGGTCCCAAGAACGTTCCGAAAAGGATGTCATTGGGACATCCAATGGATGGCTCTGCCCATTGGGATGCTTGTACTCTTCCGGTTGTGCAAAAATTAAAATAATTCGATTGTTTCCGGTTACAATATTATTAACGTTTAACATTGTGTTTCGAAAGGACAGGATTATATGGAAATAAGTTGTAAAATTATAATATTTTTTTAACTGTCATTATAAATTCTAAAATCCTGCTGTTTTTCCTTGTCTTCTATAGTCAGAAATAGCTGTAATATATTTATTTTGTTTAGCAAGTGCTGTGACTGCACTTCCTATACCTGTATAAATAGTTGAATTATGTCCAATTTGGTGTAATTGATCTAATATGTATTGTGGAAAACCTATTTCATTTTGGATAGTCATTGGAAATAGCTGCAAACAGAAATGATTAAAAAATAAATGTTCATAAGGGATGTAAGTCTTTTTATATTACTTTTCACATATATCACTAAGTTATGTTCTGTTATGTGAGTTGAAAATATTGTTGAAAAGTGCATTATATAGTTTAGGTTTATTAATAATATAAAGTATAATACCTGATGATGAATTCTGTGAGCATCAACAGCTTCTTTAATATCATAATCCACCCAGAGATTCAACATAATTGTAAGTGCCACAGCAGTTGTAATTTTTGTACCACCAGCAGCACCAACGACTAGTCTTACTTCATTATTTTTGTCTACCTAAAAAAATATGTATACTTTATCAATATTTTAACCGTGATTGATCTATAATTAAAGATTAACTAAGAAATAAAGATTGATTAAATATGAATTTGGTGCAAGATTTTAAAAATTTCAAATAGAAGATCCAATGAAACAAAGAATTTTTTAATTAGAATTAATAAAAAGATTTTACTGAAATTTCTTGGAATTGATGAATACGAATAAAACAAGGTTCACAATATTTTTAATAAATGTTGAAAAATAGATTAAACAAGTTTAATTCTAGGAAATCTAATAGAAAGTTTTATATTGACGATATAGTGAATTTGATTTTAGCAAATCAAAAAAGATGTGCACTTCCCAATCTTAAGTAAATTATTTTTAGATTAGGAAATTATAAACAATTACAAAATCAAAATCATCTGCAGTCTTTAAATAATGTTCAAAATTTCTTACAATTATTGTTGGTGACATGGAACTTAATGGTCGTTTTCCAGGCTTTATGAAATTAACAGGTGATGGTGGTATACCAAAAGCATTTGTAATATTAGGAGAACTGAAGTCATCCATTTCATCATTGAATATAATTCCAGTCGAATTTGAGCGAAACAATGCTCCAAATCTAAAAAAATATTCTGCCCTTTAATAATTATAGTAAACTTATGTGTATGTCGTTGATTCCAAGCGGATAGGATATCTTTAAGCATTTTGGATATTAATGAAATATTCTGATTCCTTTTCTTTTTTGCTTAAAAAATTATTCATTTTCTAGGTCGTAAAAGAGGTTTACGTACACTTGATTAATAGTAGATGTTACGGAAACTGCTGAGCCGTCTGAGTCTAAAACTGACACATGGCATGTTCCATGATCTTCAGGATTTACTGTTACAGCTCCATAAAAATGAGGATCATTACTTGTCCATGTATCATTGATAAGTCTTCTAATGTCTTCTGCATATTTTGCAGACGTGAAATTTTTAACAAAATTTTCTGTAATATTAATAATTATTAATAAAAACTAAAAGAATATCCTATCAGTTTGCTACTTATTTGTCTTAATGAAGGCAGAACTGAAATGTTTAAAATAAATGGATTTGCAATTAACGAGTCAATGTAATGAATGATCTGTAATTATTCCAATCTGGCTAAAACATAGTTCTATATAGTATTCTGCCATGTATTAAATTTTTCTAATAAGTCAATGATTTTTATGTCCAATATGTTTCATATCATTTTTAAACAATTCGGCTAAATAAAGGTTAGGTATAAAAAGAACTTACCAACATCTTTTTCAAAGTCAGGATCACCCAATTCAGTTCGTTTTGCGTAAGCCCATTTAAATGTTTCAATCATACGGTGCCATATAATTTCCTTTTCACTAGTCAAAAGAAAATTTTCAAGAACTTTCATTATAAATGTAACAAGCACTCCAGATCCAGGAGGAGGAGCAGAATAAATAGTCATGTTTCCAATATTTGTTTTAAGGGGCTCCTTCCATATAACTCTGAATATTACCAATTTAAGAACAGCATTTTAAAAAAAGTTCGTTGATTGAAACATCGAGTAGACAATTTGATACTTCTTCAAATAGCAGTGACTTTCAGTCTATGTACATATCAATAAAATGAGAAACTAAGAACCAAATGAAGAGTCGTTTACTCAAGTACTAACTTACACAGTTAGCAAAAAACGTCTTTGTTTAAATTTCTTTTAAAAAGTATATGTGAACAATTTGTATGTATACATAAATACGTTTTGTGCCTACTCAGTGTGTTCTTTCTTCTATTGTTATTCTACTGTAATGTTAATTTTTTAATAAGAATTAAATATTACCTGTAGTCTTTAAAGTCTTGTAAATCAATAATTCCTTTATATGCTTTTATTTCTTCAGTCAACGTTTTTGCAATTGTTCCATTATAAAATTCTGTTATTCCCGTATTAGATATAATTTCTAATGTTTTTGCCAGCTTTGGTCGTTTTATTCTGTCTCCCTCCTGTTAATATTTAAATACACTGAATTAGTTATCAACGAGAAAATAACTAAATCAAAATTTATGACTGTGTAGTCTTAATCTAATTGTTTTGAAGAGAAGAAGACAGTATAAACACCAAAAAACATTTTGTTTATTTCTCTCTTTAGTCCACTTCACAGTAATAAAATTAGGATTAAATTATTTGTTAATTTTTTAAACAACTATAAATTTTACCGTTCAAGGTACAATCAAATCTATAATTACCTTGAGTAGTTGATTAGTACGACTGTCGATAAGTATTTCTGACAGAGTTGGTTCTTCTCTAATAAATTTCTCTTTAGACTTAATATAACCACTTAAATAATTATTAATGCGGGATCCCTCTTCACATAGTTTTATGGTTGGCTCAAAAAGATCTTTCCATTTTAGTTTTCCAAACTTTTGATGAGCCTCCCAATATCCTAGAAGTTCTCCAGGAACCGCAACAGACAAACCACCTAAATATGGAGAAACAATTTATCTTTCATTAAAAATTTTTTACGAGGTGTATTAAACGGTTCTTATTTTAGAGCCAATCAAATTCAGTGATTCTCCGTGAAAATTCAATCCAGCCGATTGCTTGACCAAAATAGTGGACGTATAAAAGCACCTTAAGTCACGATTGCCCCTTTTGATGAGAGTCGGGTTCTTTCCAATCCCTGGCAATTCTGCAGGTTTGCCACCCATCCCTAAGCGATGTAGGCTTTTAACCACTGTCACTACGAATCCTTGCTTAACGCTTGGAGACCTATGGTTCTCCTGAGCTCCAGGCGCTTCCCGTGGTACCATTAGACTCAGGTACGAGTACCTCTTTAAGTACCCGGAGAACCGGAGGCCATACCAGCGACAGGTTATCGTTTTATATACGACGACATAAACCACAAACATTTCATGACCAACCGGAGGTAGTGACTTCCGAAAAGCTCGGAACTACTTAAGGTCAAGACAGTACATAAGCCGAAGTCACTATTCTTTACTATTACCATTTGGGACATCACTGTTGTACACGTTCGGCTTTTGGAATGCTACACAAAGTTGTTGATATTGGTAGCGGCGAGGTTAATGCTGCAAAACTCTTTGGCAAACCTCCTCGTACCAGGACATTTGCAAGTAAAAACACATGCCATCGTCCTATACCATTACCATTTGGAACATCACAGTTGAACCGATCGGGTTTTGGGACGTATTCTCAATTTTCCAACTCACACGGACAGCATGAGAGCGGACATTTAACATTTGACCGGCAGAAATGACACGGCACTGCCAACCTCTAGGTTTTGTCACATAGAGCAAATTACAAGAATAGATTGTAATGATCTGACTTTTATTACCAAAGGATTTGCTCGCCGGATGGAGTCCGAATACCTATTTTGACTAGTTACTTTAAATTTCGGTAGATGGCGTGAAGCGCCATTTCGGAACTATTTCTTACTATGATGTAGAGGAGTGGTGTAGTTATTGACGAGTCTTTATTTAAACCTTCGAAAGAGAATATATTGTTTAAATAAAAGAATAATAAAATATACAAAAATAAATTATTACATAAAACAATATAAGAACGAAAGAATCTATACAATGCAAATAAAATACTAATCTCTAGAAAACATAACGATGAAAGAACTAGCTATTCTAGAGGAGCGTTCGCTGAGCTCCGATCGCGCTCGTCATTAATCCAGAATGAAACGGATTTAAACATATTTACCACGTTCACGAAGATGTTGATCAGGACGACACATATTACTTTCACGTGGGGTACTTTCTAGAATTTACCCCCTAGACGACGGATACTAGGGTCGTGCACGCTAGGTAGATTATTATTCGTAATCGGGAAGAAGCAAGATATTGGATTCTGTTCCAATATTCATGCCCGACGCGAAGCTAGTGCAAAGTAATATTCACTAGGTGTCTCCTCCACCTGAGAAGCGCCTCGAGATGGGGAATCGACCCATCCTTGTCAAGAGAGGAGCGACTCTACTCGACAAGGACGGTCGTGATGGAAGTGAGTGGGTTACCTGGTTCACCAGTCTTCCACGGAAGCGCCCATAGGAAATCACCTTACCGCAAGAGACTAAATTTTAATTGGTTAAAAACTATTCTGCTAATCTGCTCCATGTGACAGAGACCTAATGATACGCGGCAACTAACGGGTGCCCTATTCTAAGCCGGGAATAAACGGTTCGTCGCTGGAATCTTCACGAGTTGGGGAACGTGAAACTCGTGGAGCGTTTTAATCGAAAATATCGCAATTTTTATGAGGTCATTTTAAAGGAGAACTTTTTCGTCGGAAATAAGAAATTCGTTACAATAGATTTAATATACTGACCTCGATAAGATAAGTCTGCATTCCCATCGAACATAGATGTTGTTGCGTGTCGTGATGCAGTTTCTCTTGCGTCTAAATAGTATGCTGTTTTTGTGGTTGAGTTCCATATTGTCATGAAAAAACCTCCACCAAGTCCCATACTTAAAAAGGTAAAACTACATTAATTTCTATTTCCCATAAAAATTATGTTTAATTGAAATTTCGAAATTTGAAATAATTTAGGGTAAATAGCAATTTGATAATAATTTCTATGAAATTCAAGAAAAATTCCTGCGCTTCTTGTTGTTTTTTGATTTTGAAGATATATAATAGATACAGTTGAGAGTGATTATAAAATTACCTGTGTAAAGATGCGACGCCTTCACAAAGTAATGTACCAATTGTTGCATCTACAGCATTGCCGCCTTTTTTTAAAAAACTTACGCCAATTTCGGCACACTCTGGACCCATTGCAGAAACTGCAGCCTAAAATATTGAAATATTTTTCAAAATTGTTTTATTTTTCTTAGTGTAGCCAAAGTTAATTTAACCATTGCAATTTAAATGTATAAAATTTAATTGACATCTAAATCTGTTGTTTAAGATTTCATATTTGATTTTGCAATTAATGTTCGGTAAAGTAAGGCTACCTTACATATTTCACTCTTTTAAATTTCAATATATTAAAATTAATTATTCTAACCTGTTTATACTTTCCAAGCGGTGCATCACTTTGGTATTTATTGCTTCGTGAGTGAGTTTCCTTATGGCTTAGAATGTAAATTATGGCACCAATAAAAGTAATTAATAATAAAACAGTTATAATCAATGCCCACAATTGTTTCTTTCGCATTCTAAGAAAAAAAGTATATTTATTGAAAATTTTGCGTTCTTAAAATTATTTTGATCATTAATTATTATATTACTTTAAAAATAGACATAAAGGACTCTTACTATTATTAAGAGTACTTTAAATAGGTGTAAATTTAAAAGTGGAAACGATTTTAGCAAACCGTTTTTTCAAATTTTTTTAAATGTGCAAAAGAGTAATTAGAATTAAATTTGAAATTTCACTGAATTTTTATTAAAATTTAATAATTTGAGACCTGCAGCACAGAAAAGTTCGCTGATGAAGTACTTTGGGAATGTACACTGTACAGGGCTGAGTGTTCATCTGAAATCAAATAATTTTAAAATTTCATTAACAAATATATTTTTCTAAAAATGAAATAAAGAAGTATTTCATTAAAATCTACAACTTTAGACAAAAACATTTTATATACATTATATCATACATTTCGTAAAATACGCGGATGCTATTTGGATTGCAGTTCAACAGGAGCAAAATTCTGTGTGTTTCTGTGTTTTGAAAATATTCATCTCACTGTTTGACGTTTATAAAAACCGATAAAGTAGAATTTATTTAAAACTGATGTGTAACAATTTTATCATGAAAGGTGGAGATTGACGATAATAATACAAAAATGATAGCTAAGTTAAATAAGATAATCTTTCGAAATTTGATGCAGACTTTTATTTATTCGATAAAAAACTCGACATGTCAGTTGAATATGAAGAATTACCTTCCCGAGGCTTAAAATAATAAAAAATCGTTTTTTAAATAGATGTACCTATTCGATTGAAAATTTAATTATCTGACGACATTGATCTATCTTCATAAAAAAGTAAAATTTTTTTTATTATCCAGAAAAATATAATATTTTGTATCATTTTTAGCCCCACAGGCGGGTAAAATATGTATGATACACTGGTAGAGGGCTGATGCATATTAGTTTTTGCCTTAATTTTTATTTTTTAAAATTTTTTTATGGTCTCAATCTTTTAAATGAATAGGGGGGAAGAAAACAATTAATTTTCTGAAAATATTTTATAAAATTATTTATAATTTATATTGTAAAATCACGATCAGATTCTTATTTAGCGTATACACAAATTAGATAAACTATATTTACTGGTCTAATTATATCTTGTAAAAAAAGTTTATAATTTCAAGACCGAAAATATTTATAAAGCTATACCCATAAAATACTTAACACAATTAAAGCGAAAGTTTTAAAGCATATGTAATCTAACCTTAGTTTTTTATGCTGTCTCCCAGAGTCGACTAAGATGAAAAGCTGAAAGTCGTAACTATTATACTGATCAAAAGATATTATAGAACAAATATTTATACAGTTTATCATTTAGCCCCATCTTTCCCTATACCTAATATATTTGAAATACATTTAATAAACGATAATTAGTCGAACTATTGTTAACTTACATTTAAATTATTTTATAAGACAATAAACTCATTTTTAAAAGATACTTCAATATCGCAACATTATAAAAAGTTTAATTGTATTTTTAAATAAGAAATTCATTTAAAAGCAATAACCCAATTTTTTTGTACTATAAATATATTACCTTCTGGCGTACAATAATTTAATATTTCAAAAAATTATTCATTTGAATGAATTCAGTAATTTGTTTTTTAGAAGAGTCTTTCATGAATGCGTTTATAATTTTAATAAATAATTATTTAATAATCAAAATACATAGAAAATAACTGCTTAACAATTAAATAATTAATACGAAATAATAATAATTGTAATTATAATATTACATTAGGCTTATCTATTACCTTAAAAATAACCAATTAATTAAAATTATCCAATTAAAAATCAGTTATTAACACAAATTTTATCATTGTATTGCACATAACCGCTAATGACAAAAATGATAAGTTCATTATATTATTTTTAGAGGTTTTTATTATTTTAAGGTTCAGTGAGCATTGTGTTACGTTGGGTTAGAAGTTAGAATTAAAGAATCTTTCACTGAAAACAATTTTACTTTTAAATTGTAGTAGATTATGTTTTCATCCCCAATTAATTAATTAATTTTCGAACTTAAGTTACAATTTTGTCTATTGTGGAACCAACTTTATGGCGTGATAATTATAATCGGATTTATGTTCTAAACAGTTTTTTTATAGCTGTTTTAAATTTTCTTATAGTGATTGATGAAGAATTTTGTGAATTGTTTGTGTCTTTGGGATTTACGAGTGCTATGTGAAGTGTGGAAATTAAATTTATGTATTTAACTCCTCTTTTAATTAATTAAAATTATTTAGAAAAACATTTTTTTTAAATATAGGGCCACTAATTTTCAATACACAGTTTTCTTCAAAGTATCAAATTGATACCAAAGTGTATCAAATTTGTAATGACCAAAATATTGGGCCTTGTGCGATGTATTGGGCCAGAAATTTTTCAACAATTAAGTAATTCGCGAAAAAAGCTACTCTGGGAGGTTCTGGAGTTTACAGAATACGATTTCAAATTTAATTATTATTTGGCAGAATATTTATTTTACAGAATTTCTCATTACACAACTTTTTTATTTAAAAGAATTCTCTAATTGAGTATAGTTAAATCCTTCCATGGTTTAATTGTTGATTGTAGAATTATAAATGATCATGGGAAGGTGTAATTGAATAAAAAAATCCAATGTTTCGTCAATGCGACGTTTCGCTGGCAAGGTTCGCCAGCCTCATCAGGCTAAAATTTATTAAAAACAAATTTTTATATAAAAGACTTCAAAAATATTTTTATAAAAGGACGAAAGCACTATTTTAAACAATTAGAACAAACTTTTATAAATTCATACCTAATTTTTGTTAAAAACACACATTTTCACACGTCATAAAAAATAAATAAATCCACACAATAATTTTATACAAATTAACATTTTTTGAAAAAGGGGGACAATCACAGAGAAGGCAAACATTTTCGTACGAAAGATCGATGTCAACTGAAATAAGAAGGAGATTTATTCGTATGAGAAGGTCGAAATTATAGAGATATGAGAAGAGTCAATGAACTTAAAAATAAACACCGTCTAACGTGAATTGAAACGTATTTCACGTGTTTTTATTTTTGACACGAGTCCATGCGATTAAGCAGAGGAAAGAAGGTTTTGTTTAAAGTGAAAATGTCTTCCTTTCTATTAATTGTACAATGATTTGTTTTTATGTGGATCATCTCAGATATTCGTCTTTTTGTAAAACTTAGTTCGTTGTCCAAAATTCTCACATTCTCCCAATCAAAATCGTGATTAAAACTAGTTCGATGTCGGTAAACAACGGAGTTATCATTTATTTTTTTATGCTCATTTATGCGAGTTTGTAATGATCGTTTTGTCTCGCCTATATATGTTGCTGGGCAGTCCTTACAGTCAAATTTATAAACAACATTTGTTTTGTCCCATTTTTTAGTTGCATCTTTACCTAATCGAATAATGGAATTGGAGTTTTTGTTTACGAGAGGGATCGAAATAAAATTAAACTCCTTGAGAATGTTTGACAATTTGAAAAAACATTTTTCATTAAATGGTAAGCAAACTTTTGGAAATCGACTATAAATGTCGGCTCTATTCTGATTAATATTATTGTCATTAGAAAATTTTAATTTGTTCATGCGGATTTTTGTTTGTTTTTCAATGAATTCTATTGGATAGCTATTGTTTTTTAAAATTGTTTTTATTTTTTTCAAATTGTCAAAATGGAACTTTTTATCGGACAACGAAATCGCTCTATCAATCAAATTGTATGCTAAAAATATCACAAAAAAAGACATAGTAAATTCTATAAAAAATCTAGAATCTTCATTAACTAATCTTGAAATCGATGAAAGTTCCAAAAATACCTTAAGAGGCAAATTTTCTAATATTCTCACAAATAATTTAAACAATAAAAACCTATCAAAAAATCAAGACAGATCCTCTTCTAAAAAATTATACAGTACAAAACTTTTCTTAAAAAATAACCCTGATGTCTTTTTTACTCCAGCAGACAAAGGAAACGTGACAGTTCTTATTAAAAAATCTGAATATAAAGAAAAAATGTCAAACATGTTTTCTGATGCATTAACATATGAACTTATTAGAAAGAACCCACTAAAAAAACTCATTATAGAAACTGCAGATATTCTAAAATATTTAAATGTAAACGATTTTCTTGACAAAAAATACCATCCTAATCAGTTGACCTTGACCGACACAGAGTTGGCCAAGGCCTATGGACTTCCGAAAATACACAAAGAGAATGTTCCACTGCGTCCAATTATTTCTTTAATTAATAGTCCTACACATTTTTTAGCCAAAATACTGTATAATTCTTTGAAAAATTGCATTAATTTACCAAGGTCACATATAAACAATAGTTTAGAATTAAAAAATAAATTGTGTAATCTTACTATGGACGACAGTTATACTTTTTTATCACTTGACGTAAGTTCCATGTTTACAAATATCTCTTGTGAATTAGTAATTCAGAGTTTAGATCGACGTTCTCATTTTATTAATCAGAAGTGCAAAATCCCTTTTAGCGATATTATTGACTGCACGAAATTTGTATTTAATAATACGTATTTTTCTTTTGATGGAAAGTTTTATAGACAAATTTATGGAACCCCGATGGGATCTCCAATTTCAGCTTTTGTTTCAGATATTGTGATGGATGATCTGGAAAATGATTGTTTAAAAATACTAAAAGAAAGACACAATTGTATTCCTCTGTTCTATTTTAGATATGTGGATGACACAATTTTAGCTGTTAAAAGAGAACATGTATCAATTGTCATTGATACCTTCAACTCTTACAACCAAAAACTACAATTTACTCTCGAAAAAGAAGAAAATAACTCCATCAATTTTCTCGACTTAAAACTTATTAGAGAGAACAAGAAAATCATAACAGATTGGTATCAAAAACCGACTTCATCGGATAGACTTATCAATTATTTCTCGGATCATCCAATCCAACAAAAGAAGAATATTGTATACAATTTGATTGATAGAGCGATTTCGTTGTCCGATAAAAAGTTCCATTTTGACAATTTGAAAAAAATAAAAACAATTTTAAAAAACAATAGCTATCCAATAGAATTCATTGAAAAACAAACAAAAATCCGCATGAACAAATTAAAATTTTCTAATGACAATAATATTAATCAGAATAGAGCCGACATTTATAGTCGATTTCCAAAAGTTTGCTTACCATTTAATGAAAAATGTTTTTTCAAATTGTCAAACATTCTCAAGGAGTTTAATTTTATTTCGATCCCTCTCGTAAACAAAAACTCCAATTCCATTATTCGATTAGGTAAAGATGCAACTAAAAAATGGGACAAAACAAATGTTGTTTATAAATTTGACTGTAAGGACTGCCCAGCAACATATATAGGCGAGACAAAACGATCATTACAAACTCGCATAAATGAGCATAAAAAAATAAATGATAACTCCGTTGTTTACCGACATCGAACTAGTTTTAATCACGATTTTGATTGGGAGAATGTGAGAATTTTGGACAACGAACTAAGTTTTACAAAAAGACGAATATCTGAGATGATCCACATAAAAACAAATCATTGTACAATTAATAGAAAGGAAGACATTTTCACTTTAAACAAAACCTTCTTTCCTCTGCTTAATCGCATGGACTCGTGTCAAAAATAAAAACACGTGAAATACGTTTCAATTCACGTTAGACGGTGTTTATTTTTAAGTTCATTGACTCTTCTCATATCTCTATAATTTCGACCTTCTCATACGAATAAATCTCCTTCTTATTTCAGTTGACATCGATCTTTCGTACGAAAATGTTTGCCTTCTCTGTGATTGTCCCCCTTTTTCAAAAAATGTTAATTTGTATAAAATTATTGTGTGGATTTATTTATTTTTTATGACGTGTGAAAATGTGTGTTTTTAACAAAAATTAGGTATGAATTTATAAAAGTTTGTTTTAATTGTTTAAAATAGTGCTTTCGTCCTTTTATAAAAATATTTTTGAAGTCTTTTATATAAAAATTTGTTTTTAATAAATTTTAGCCTGATGAGGCTGGCGAACCTTGCCAGCGAAACGTCGCATTGACGAAACATTGGATTTTTTTATTCAATTACACCTTCCCATGATCATTTATAATTCTACAATCAACTAAAAGAATTCTCATTTAACCGAATTTTAATTTAATAGAAGTCTCATTTATTTAATTATATATATATATTAATTATATATTTAATTATATATAATATAGACTCTGTCTGTTATGTGCGGAAAATTCAAAATTTTGCGTTTAAAACGTTTTTTAAACAATGTTAAGGTCACAAATCATGGCGCATGACACGCAAACTTCTCAGGTATGTGAAAAACACAATTTTGAATATTTTTTAAAAAAACCTTTTAGAAAATGTTCAGAGAAACATAGACTATGTCTGTTATGTGCGAAAAATTCAAAATTTTGCGTTTAAAACGTTTTTTAAACAATGCCTACATATAAGCAATTCGTGTATTTTTCCTTACTTGTGACAACCAACTTAAACATTGTTTAAAAAACGTTTTATACGCAAATTTTTAAATTTTTCGCACATAACAGACATAGTCTATGTTTCTCTGAACATTTTCCAAAAGGTTTTTTTAAAAAATATTCAAAATTGTGTTTTTCACATACCTGAGAAGTTTGCGTGTCATGCGCCATGATTTGTGACCTTAACATTGTTTAAAAAACGTTTTAAACGCAAAATTTTGAATTTTCTGCACATAACAGACAGAGTCTATGTTATTCTGAACATTTTCCAAAAGGTTTTTTTAAAAAATATTCAAAATTGTGCTTTTCACATACCTGAGAAGTTTGCGTGTCATGCGCCATGATTTGTGACGTCACGAAGGTTCAAATGCTCTTAATAAAATTTTTTAGTGTTTCGAATTTTTAAATGCTAGAATTTATAATTTACAGAATCTTAATTTGTCAAAATTTTTATTTGTACGAATGGTTATTTGATAGAATTCTTAAAACGCTGAATTTTCATTTATCGGAAATTGCAAATAATCGACATAATGATTTCGGCGCTGTTTTTATCCAATCACCATTTTCTTGATAATTTCTGATAGGTGAATTTTAAAAATCACGCCGAAATCTTTCTGTTCATTGTATATATTCGGTCATTTGCAATTTCGGACAAATGAAGATTCGGTGAATTACCATTTTTTTTCATTAAAAAATTATGTGACTTAAAATTCTGTTAAATAGGAATTATAATGATTTATAAAATTTGGTTTAATTAGAATTTTTTGAAATAAAATGTTAGGTAAAACAAAATTCTGTGAAACAAAAATTCTGCTAAATAAAATTTCGGTACCTAAAAATGTTGTTAAGTAAAAATTTGTTTAAAACGATATTATGTTTAAGGTTAATTCGAATAATGAAAATTCCTTTGAAAAATAATTATATCTAATAAAATTCTTTAAATTGAAAATTCTAACTAATTATTTTCATGGAATAATAATATATTTTACAAGATTAATAAATTATAATTTTTTATATCTAACATTAATTTTATTTAATATTATTAACATATGCTATACGTATAACACTAAGAATAAAAAAAAATAAACCTCAGAGACTTAGAAAATTTTTATGCATTGATAATGTTTGAATGTTAAGAACGTATTACATGTAAAGGTGATAACAAAATAACTATAACAAATTTAAATTTTTACCATTATAATAATCTGCAATTCTTTAAAATAATTTTTTTAAAGAGATTTTTCATAATAATTCTAATTATATTTTTTAAATAATATTTTTATTATAAATAACATAAAAATTAATTAATAAAAAAGTTTTTTTAAATTAAAATTAATAATTGACAAAGACAAAGATAAATAACATTTTTCTCATAAGGAGGAAATGTTGTATTTTAAATGTTTATTTAAACAAAAGAATAAATTTCTATAAAAAATTTTTAAATTAATTCAACAAAAGATAATTTTAAGTAGTGAGTCAAATTCAGGAGTCGATTATGTAATTATTCCGCATTCCATATTCCACTTTTAACTTTCCGCATTCCGGATTTCTCATTCCACTTTTCACTTTCTGTATTCCACATTCCACGTTAACAAAAAGTTACCTTCTTCAACTTACAAAAAATTGGTTATGATTTTTAAACTTCTAATGAACTAATTTTTATCGTTATTTTATTAATACAAATTTAAAATACTAATATTAATTATATTCTATACAATAGAAAATAAAAATAATAAGAATGGCAAATTTTACAAAATATCATTTATTCTCCTCGCATATAAAGAAAGTTTTTCATACAAAAGTGAAACCTGGAATATGGAATGCGAAAGATGAAAAGTGGAATACGGAATTTGGAAAATGGAATCGGCAAAATAAAAAATGGAGGTGAAAAGTGGGTAGCGGAATGCGAAAGATGAAAAGTGAAATGCGGAAAGTGAAAAATATAATGCGGAATGTGGATCCTCCTGGTGGTGGATTATGTAATTATTCCGTATTCCACATTCAGGCAACTACATTCCACATTCCGAATTTCTCATTAAGCTGAAAAGTGGAATGCGGAATATGGAATTTGGAATGTGAAAAATGGACTTTGGAATATGAAAATTAGAATGCGGAATAGTTACATAATCGATCCTTTTTGTAAAAAAAAAATTTTTATTCAATTTTTATATCTAGTATTTTAAAATTATTATCATGAAAAAAGAAATCACAAAAGAAATCTTTAGTTTAGGCAAAAAAAAAAAATAGTAGATCTGACTACTTTTTAACTATCCTGCGTAATTTAATAGGTCCTGAAATCAAATTAAAAAGTTGTATTGACTCTCAAAAAGTAGTTAAAAGAATTAAAAATGTAGTTAGTAGACTGAGATTTTGTAGTTTTGTTGTTGATTTAACCACAATTTTAAGAAAAAAAAAATTATTTCTCTCCAGAAACTTAGATTTTCCATTTTTCTTTAAAATTTTAATTAAAATCATCAAAATTTGTTTGCAATGAAATAAAATTATACTTAAATTAATACAAGCTTATAATTCAATATAAACATGTATATTTATTTTTTAAATATATTGTTAATATAGAGTATAAATGATAAAAAAAAGTCAAATAAAAAATAAATTTTACTAACCAAAAAATAATAAATATTTTATTGAACTCTCGTCCACTTGAAATATATATTGGTAACTGCACTAGTGACGCGTTTATTAATCCTTAGACACAAGAAAGATAAGTTCAAATCACCGCAAATATAGATGGTTTCTGTGTTGTCTTTATTCTACAATGTGAGCATATGGCGCAGAGAATGTATGTCTCTGCGTTATACCAAGGCTATGTGCCTCAAGCTTAATTATCAGACTTTACTATAGATAACACTTTCAGCATTAGGAATTGTATGTTTATAGACATTATTGTGTGATATAATGACAAATACAAAGTGCTAATAATTAATGCCAATAAAAACTTATCTCTTCCAATTTTCAATTAAACCACTTTTTTCAAATTGTAGATGAATTAAAAATATATAAAACTATAATTGAAACATGAATTCCATTATATAGTTGACTATCATAAATAATGTATGATTGTGAATTTCAAAAATAGGTGTAACTACCTTCTAAATCACTTTTACAATGCAATTTGTCCATTATGTAATATTTTAAAAACTTATTTAACAATTTTTAAAAGGAAAAAAAAACATAATTTTTTCCTTAAAAGGCGTTATAAATTACATTCGCCAAAGAATGAAATGTTTATTTGGTAAACTGTTAAATGAAAAATAATTTAAACCGTATATTAATCAAAAGGGTTAGAAAAACAAAAATTAATTAAAATTCTTTGAGTTTATAAAACTTAGAAATGTCTACTTATAGTTGCTATAATCCTGTTAATCTTCACCTTAATACAAATTATCTTAGTTTTATGTCCCAAGTAACATTTTTTTAATTAAGTCAATTATAATTTTATATAATGTTTAAAATTAAAGAATTTAATTTTTAATTATATAAATACACTTAAAAAAATTATAATCCTCCCTAAAATCTGTTTTTCAATTTAATTTATAAATTTCTACTTTGACTCGGACTGATAGATAACATGTCATTTTTATTATTAAATTATTATTAGTTCAAAAAAAGAAATTACTAATTGTGTCAATTAATATTTTACTCAATTGATGATTTTTTTTTATGATTTATGAATTTTACCTTGAAACATTAGCTTCGAACACTACGAAAAATTCTTTATATTTTTCTAAAGGTTTTAAAGATACTGGCGACTAGATACCCTAACAATTATCCTTTGGAAGAAGAAATGCGTACAGGTATCTTGTCAAAAAACTGGGACTAGGATTTCCACGAAAAGATAAAACTGCACTGACTGATGATGTAACTGACTGAAGATGATTCCGATGTGTATATTGAAAACTGAATATGTATATCTCTCACAGTGAAGCCTGCTCTTATATAGCATTTTTTGTAAACGGTTAGATTTGAGGAACCAGTTTCAGATATTTTTTTGGTATCTTACAGGCACACAATAGTGAAAACACTAAAAAAAATTTATTTGATTCAAATATTCAATTACTTTATTTTCGAAATAAATAAACAAAAACTTGACTTCTTTAATTTTATAAAATTTTAAAAAACTATTGTTAACTTTGTTTTATGATAATCAATTAAATTCTTTACACTTTTTGTTGGAGATACAACGATATTTATAAATATTTAAGGTTTTAAGTAAAATTCAGGTGGAAAGGGAAAACCAGGTACTTGAGGTACTTGAGTGCAATTCCGGGTTGAAGGATTTTGTCAGTCGTGCTATTATAGTACTGCGGATAGCATTAAACTTTGTACGGTTCGCTTAAAGAATTCAGTAAAGAATCTATATTAAAGTCAATTCTATGTTTGTCAAATTAACATTATAATTGTTCAATAAAGTCTTAATTTATCTGTTACAATTTCTTATCTATCATCTTATACGTGTTTTACTTCCAAATAACCTATCCAGTTTCAATACTTTTTTCCAATGTTTTATTTATTTATTTACATGTATTTACGTTTATTATGTTATTAAAAATTCATAAAAAAAATTAAATAAAAAATTTATAAAATAGCTCTATCTGTGCAAAAATCATACACGAAATATCACTTGTTAAATCTTTTATTGTCTTTCATTTATTTTCGGATAAATTACATTGATTAATTCATCTCAGAAATATCTTCAAAATTAAATGTTCTACCCCTTCTTCTCTCTTTCATTGAAATATCTTCAGAATTAAATGTTCTACCCCTTCTCTCTTTCATTGCAATATCTTCAAAATTAAATGTTCCACCCCTTCTTCTATCTTTCATTACCTAAAAAAAAAAAAAAATTTTAATTACAAACATAATAAATTGTATACAAAACATTAAAATATTAAATATAAAAAAGATTGTGAACAGAAAAAAAAAATGAAGATTGATTAATTCAGTATAAATGAAAATTTAAACTGGTTACTCACAACCTTCACAACAAAAGGATATTCAGGATATCCTTGGGACGTCCTGGGGATATCGATTTGTTTTCGGCGGTTTGGATATCCCTGGGATATCTTAGAGATGTCCATGGATATCCAGAGGATATCTTAGGGATATCCGAATCGCCAAAAGCAAATGGATATCCCCAGGACGTCCCAGGGATATCCTGAATATCCTTGTGTTGTGAGGGAAGAGGCAAAAATACTTTTTTGTGTCAAAATCATACAACGTTTGATAGAATTGATCAATTTTAATTTTAAAAGGAAGTAGAAGCTTATTTTGCAAAAAAAAATAGAGGAAAAATAAAATTATTAAAAAAAGCATTTTTCCCATACTGTATAGAATAGAGGAAAATGAAAGGAAAGAGAAGATTGAGTATATAATTAGAATAAGATATAAATTTAAAAATTGGGTAAATGTTAAGGAGGAGAAAGCAAGAAGGGAACTGGAAAGGAAATTCTTTGGCGCTGTCGAATAAATATTTTTAAAGTTAGGTTAACAATTACGCATTGTAATTAGAATAGAATATTTAAGAAGACAGATTTGTTAGTTCTAATTTTTCACTATGTAATATTTATGTGTGAATAATATTAAAAGTTAATAGAAAATTAATTTCAATTAAAACCAACAAACTATTATTTCATGCACGTTAAAAATAATAATTAATTTTTATCATCTTTTCTGATGACGTATCACATGAAGCACCCTACGTAGAGTTATTAATTAATTAATTTTAATTAAATTAACAAACTATTATTTTATGTTCATTAAAAATAATAAATAATTTTACCATCTGTTCTGAAGACGCACTATCTGAAGCACTCTCCATAGAGGACTCTAAATCATTTCTTTTTCGTAAAATCGGTTTTTGAGCAGTCTGTTTTTTATATAAAAAAATATAAATATATTAATAATAATTGAAATGATTTATTTATTGAAAAAATTATATATTTCGACATAAGAAACAATAATCCGCGTGCAAGAATATAAGAAATAAAAGGTAATTTCAAAAATGAAAAAGAATTTATACTCAGTTTTTGGAATTGACCAATTTTGCATTTAAATCTCTTATATACTTACAATGGATTCATAATCGATAATGGAATTCCAGTACATGAATGAAAGATTTAAAAATTCCGAAATAATCTGCAAAAATAAATAATAATTAAAAATAACAATTTCCATTATGCAAAAATGTTATAAAACACATTTACCCGTGTGGAAAAATTTTGTGGAAGTCTAGCGTCTAGAAATAGTCTTACCAGTCATAGGCAAGCCTGTCTAAACTAGTCGGTCTTGCTATTCGCTAAGAAGCGTTTCAATAGACGTAGTCGAGTTCGTCTTATCTAGACCGTTTTTCAAGACTCAAGCCAGCGACTTTACAGCGCTACTTGACAAACGTGTAGGTTATGGTCGTTTGCGGTTGTCATCGTACTTTTACAGTTGTTGCACTTTTGTGAAATTCTTTTCATTGTAAAATGCTTTTGTAAAATACTTTTGTGAAATATTTTTGCGAATTACTTTTGTAATTGTGTACAAATATTTTTAAATAATATATTTTTTACAATTTTTAGTAATTACAATTTAATATATTTTATAATTAGTAATTAATATTATTTAAATTATATTTATATATTGCTGTTAATTTCAATAAAAATATTCTTTTGTTTTTTTTATAGATTTTTGAAATTTATTTTTTTAATCGAAGAAAAAACTTTGTCACGAATTTATTTATTTTTATATTATATATCCATTTACATAACCTCAAACTAAAAAGTAGTTTTTAACAAAACTAAAAATATATTTAAAATTTATTACACCCAAATTCGACATATCCAATTGTACAATATATATTAATTTAAATAATATTAATTACTAATTATGAAATATATTAAATTGTAAAAAATATATTATTTAAAAATATTTGTACACAATTACAAAAGTAATTCGCAAAAGTATTTCACGAAAGTATTTCAGGAAAATATGTTACGAAAGTATTTTACAAAAGCATTTTACAAAAAAAAAAGAATTTCACAAAAGTGCAAGAACTGTAAAAGTACGCTGACAACCGCAAACGACCATAACCTACACGTTTGTCAAGTAGCGCTGTAAAGTCGCTGGTCTGAGTCTTGAAAAACGGTCTAGATAAGACGAACTCGACTACGTCTATTGAAACCCTTCTTAGCGAATAGCAAGACCGACTAGTTTAGATGGGCTTACCTATGACAATAAAGGCAATGGATATGGCTTTTATATAAATAGAAATAATTTTATAATTATATTAAAAATATATGTAATTTAAGAATAAAAACATTTTGAATTTAGCATAAAGGCGCGCCAAAAACATCACCGGTATTAACAGATTGTCGCCAAGTAGCCAGCGTGGCCCCGTGGTTAGCGTTGTAGGTTTGCGAGTGTTAGGTCGTGGGTTCGGTGCCCAGTGCGAGCGAGATTTTTCAAATTAGATTAGGTGTTATTTCCACAGGTGTTGTTAATTAATCTTAACTGATGAAACAAAAATTGTAAAAAACTGCGGATTAAATTAATTAAATAATAATAAATTTTTTTTGAAATTACTAATAATAATTAAATGAGGAGATAAGTTGTCTTGACTTATAAGATTCCAATACAACTTATCTCCTTATTATTAATAAATTAAAATCATATTATTAATGAATACTAATGTTATTTTAATTTTATCTATAAATATAATAATACGTAATATTAATAGGATTATTATTATTATTACTATTATTATTAAGAATTATTGAACGCGAGAATCAAGACCTGGCCAGCTTGTCTAACTCTAGACCGTAGCATGGAACTTTCGTTCCATTTCTGATCGGAGGCTCGACAAGACCGTCTGGCCTGGGTCTATAGAGACGTTAGACAGTCTGTCCAGTGTCCTACCAGCGCCCCGAAATTTTTCCACACGGGTATATGTACTTTGAGCAAATAATCATGATAGATGCCCCCTGGTTTATAGTGTGGTATTTTATGAACATCGATTCGAATCAAAGTTGGTCCAAATATCGTTTCAATATAACTCATTACTTTCAGATCGTAATTACTTTTTTTTGCAATTCGTTTTAAATGAATAATTATCAATGCAAGTGTATTTCGTCGTAATTCTGGAAGGTTCTTAATGAAAATTTTAAGTTTTACTGCTTTATCTATTTCGTTTGATTGTTGTACAGCATGTGTCAATTCATACATCGAATTCGGAGAAATAATAGACTCTTGCAGATTACTGAAATTAAAAAATACATTAAAAAAATAATTCTGAAAAATGTAATAAGAGTTTAGGCTTAAAAGGTGCTCTAGGATTACATGAATATACACTAAGAAAAATGTTTAGTCAGAGCAACCAAAATTTAGTTGGGCCAACAAAAAATTTTTATTAGTATTTAAGCAACCAAACTATTTGTTTGAGTCAACCAAAAAATTTGGTTGAGTGTCGCAACCAAATTTTGGTTAGGACAACAAACGATTTGGTTGGAATTTAAAAATGTTCAACCAAATAATTTTGTTGGCCTAATCAAATGTTTGGTTGAGATAACTTTACGACTTTGTTTCAGCCAACCAAAATTTGGTTACAAGAACCAAAATTGCCTAATCAAACAATTTTGTTGCAAACACTAAATTTTTTTTTCTCAGTGATAAGAAACAATCCAGTGGGAAATTGCCAATGGTAACCATTGGGCCATTATAGGACCAATGATTGTCCAATATTGAGCCAATGCTGCCAATATTGGACCACTCTTTTGCCAATGGTAAATTTCCCACTGGGAATAATCGATTTAGGGGAATCATTTTCCTGGTAATTACAACAATTCCCTAGAATCTTGCAAATACAATATAAACTTCTACGTCTTTCTTTTTTTTGTTTCTATCCCAGGAGGTAATAAAGCTTTCATTACGATCACATATTTTTACATTAAAAATTAATTTTCTAACATTATTTATACTTCAAGTAAAAATAATAAATACCCCCACAGCACCGAAACTTTCCTAAAGATTTCCTGAAAATTTATTTGATATGTTCGGAATATTTAATTGCAATATTTTGTGAAAATTGTGTAAAGATTTTAATGTCCCACTTGAATAAATGTTCAGGAATGTTTCACAAAGTTTCACACTAAACATTTATTTAATCGGGACATTTAAATCTTTACACAATTTTTACTAAACATTGCAATTATATATTTCGAACATTTCAAATAAATTTTTAGAAAATCTTTAGGAAAGTTTCGGTGCTGTGGTGGTATATTCGTAATTTCTATTTAATTCATTATTTTCTCTTTATGTATAAAATCTGAATTATGCTTCACGGTAGTGGCGCATGATTATATAAAAATCATTGTTTACAATTTTCATTTTAAAGACGCGTATATTTATTATCATTTTGACAAATTTTTATTTTTATTAATTAGCATTTGACAAAATTCATTTCGAAACAAATTTTTAATTTACAAAAGTTTTATGTGCTAAATTTTATTTGGTAAAATTTTTCATTACACAACTTTAATTTAATAGAATTTTAAGTGCTTCGAATTTTTAAATGCTAGAATTTCTAATTTATCTAATCTTGATTTGTTCAAATTTTTATATGAACAAATTGTTATTGGTAGAATTCTTAATTTAATTTTTCATTCATCCAAAATTGCAAATGGCCAAACAATTTCTTGTTGGGATAAATTTTAATAACAAATTAGGATACAGTGAATTAGAAATTTTTACATTTAAAAATTTGCATCATTTAAAATACTTTGTTGAATGAGAATTATTCTAAATTAAAATTCGGTTAAATTAGAATTGTTTTAAATAAAAAGAATTCTGTGAAATAAAAATTCTGCCAAATAAAATTTCGTTACCTAAAAATTTTGTTCAGTAAAAATTCATTTAAAAAGAAATTCTGTTAAAGGCAAAAAATGAAAATTTGTCAAAAAAATAATTATATCATATAAAATTCTTTAAAATTTTAATTTCTTTCTAATTATGGGAAAAAATCATGCGCCCCTTACAGTGTTAGCTAATCTTTTTTCTAAGATGTTGTAAAATACATTAATAAAATTGACCTTAGAAAGTATATGACAGTTTTGGCAATAACTGGTACTGAATATAACGATAGATCAACATTAGTATTTTCATCAAGCAATTTTTCCGTCAATTCTTTAGCAGATTCTATACCACTGTCTACTGAATACAGTTGTTCAGACTGTTCCTTGGATTGTTCTCTACTATCTAATTCTCCGAAGCATTTTACCAATATTGAAGGTACATATGGTGGATATTCAGATTTATATTTTTCGATTGGGCCCTAAATAAACAGTTTTATATAAGTTTAAAATTTTTATACGAACTGTACAAAAATATTTTTATATTTTTCATTTATAATTATTTTATAAATATAAGTATTTTAAAATATTTGTTTTATTTGAGAATGACAAAAAATTATTTACTTCCTAATAACTTCAACAAATCAAAGTAAAAAACACTACTACAATATATTTTAATTATTCATTTTCAAAAATTACCAAGTCATCTAAATCAACATGGAAAACTGATGTTTTTCCTTTTGCCTAAAAAATAATTTTTTATTATATAATCTAATAAACAAATTTCACTTCTTAAGAGTAATTCGTAAATTACTTTCAAATTTGAAATTATCATATAATAAATCTTACTGTTAATATAGACAAACTATCCTTTATCAGGGCAAAGATAAATAAAGACAGAAGTATAGAAAATTTTTTGCAGAGGTCATTTTTTCAAAATCTGAAGACTTGAAAATCACAATAATATTTGAACTGATTTTATTTTTATTTATATAGTGCTGCAATAATAAAATAAAAATATCACTTATTAGTATTTTTCTATTTTTAACCCTCACGTGCCTGAGTTCATGTTTGGACGTGAGTGTCTGAGCTGGGTCCAACGGACCCAGCTGCTTAAATTTCATTAAAAAAAAAGATTTAATATCAGGATATTTAATATTTTTATTCTAAATTATAATTGTAATATTTTACAAATATAATTGCAAAAAATATTTAATCTTTTGACACTCTAGGGTACATAAATAGCCCACAAAAAGTCATGTCGTCACACCTTTTTCGACAGGGCGAACTTAAGTGTACAGTACAAAAGAAATAATTAAATTAATTTTATTATTATTGGGTATTCTTAAGTTTTTGGGGTCGCTGATTATGAATCCGACGTCAGATTTAGAAAATTCAAAATGGCGGCTCCAATATGGTGGACGAATTTAAAAAAACGTTTGGATTCGCTTGAAAATCGTTACTCGGGGGTTTTTGTGGTCGCTGATTACAAATCCGGTGTCCGTTTTTCAAAATTCAAAATGGCCGACAAAAATTTTAAAAAATCGTTCTGATTCTCTTGAAAAATTTTACTCGGGTGTTTTCGGGGTCGCTAATTACGAATCCGATGTCCATTTTTCAAAATTCAAAATGGCAGATCCAATATGGCGAACAGTAAAATTAAAAATCAATACAATTTACTAATATCATATTCGTAATCAGCGACCTTGAAAATCCCCGAGTAACGATTTTCAAACGAATATGTTGAAGTACATGAAAACAAAGTTGCCTGGGTCCGATGGACCTAGCTTAGGAATCTATACGTACTATAGAGATATAAAATAATGTATTAGAAGGAGTTTTACATAAAAAATGCTGTTTTTTTTCAAAGGTACGTTATATCATTTATATGATAACGATTTTGAAAAAAAAATTTCTTAAATAGAAGTAGATGAAATAGCAAATTGTCTGGATCCAATGGACTCAGCTCAGGCACGCAAGGTTTAATAAAAAAATATTTCATTGAAAAAATGAATTTTAGCAATTCGAAAAAATAAATTAATATTACCTGATATATGATTTCAACTGTAATTGTAAAACACAAAATTCAACTGTAGGCAGTGGGTTGCAGTAAAGTCTATTTAAATGCTAGGCGCTTTGCATGAAAAAAATATAAAATACTTATCAGAGTTATAATTTTTTATTTTTTTACTTTTTTTATTTTTTTATTAAAAAATAATCAATATTTTATCTTTTTAACATTAAAATATCTATTGGATATTATATCGCAGGATATCCATGGGATATCCTCAGGATGTCCGTGGGATATTCTTAGGATATTCACGGGATATTTAATATCTCAACATATATTTTTAAAGGTTAAAATTGTTAAGCTAATATAATGAATAATAATATAATAAAAACAAAAATCTTATGAGCTTCTAATTTATTTTAAATGAAGATTTGAAACGCATTTTTCAAAGTTTTTTAATAAACTCATGCACTTAATGTATAATTAATATTAATAGTTATTCGTTATTTGCGGGAAAGAATTTATATTGTTTAAAGCCAATTTATTTTCTGACAATATTAAGCATATGAATAAAGAAATGAATCACGAATGAGAAAAAAATTAGTTAATAATTTTTCAAATTAAACAACTTTCTCGAAAAACAAGTTGCATTTTATTTTATTTATATAAAATTTAATTCACAGAATATTCTCACTCGTAGTCTCATAATGACTTTAAAAACAGTATCCTGAGAATATCTTCTTGACATCCAGAAGATATACTGAGAATATCCTGAAAATATCCGTGGGATATCCTGACGATATCTATGGGATATCCTGATGATATCTGTGGGATATCCTGACGATATCTATGGGATATCTGGAGGACATTTATGAAAGTCTATAGAGATATCCAGAAGATATCCTGTGGATATCCTCAGATATCCATCGGATATTCAAAGGATATCCAAACCGCCGATTTTTTGGATATCCTTAAGAGATCCTTTTGATATCCATAGGACATCCATAGGATATCTGCAGGATATTATCAATATATCCCAATATATCTTGTGTTATTAGGGTAAATTCGATTTAAAATTTACAGGCGTATTTAGGACCGGAATTACAGTCCTCATTAGGGTTCTTATTACGGTCATATTTTTTCAATAGGGTGATAATTCTGTAAAACAAAAATTAGTTTAAATAAAAATATTTTTTGCCAAAAGTTTTGTTTAATAGAAATTTTGTTAAATGCGGTAATTCAGTTAATGAAAATACTGTTAAGTGAATATTTGGATAAATATAAATTCGATAAAAGAACAATTCTGCTAAATAAATCTGCTATATAAGTTCTTATGTGGGAGATATTCATTCGCATTTGAGTTATTTTTACAAAGTAAAAATTTTAAAGCAGTAAAATTCTCTTCAATAAATATGAAAAATTTATACTTTAACTTTTGCCAGCGACTTTTTTTTCTTATCTTGATTGTTTACTGCTTTTAATATTTGTCCATAAAAAGATGATAAAAATAATAACTTTTAGAACATTAAAATCCGAGTTAAAATCTATTTTTTTTATAAGTGAAATTTGAAAGCAGAAATCCATACCAAATAAAATTTTCTAAATAAATAGTTTAGATACCTTAATATTTCATATCTTTTTTTATTACATATTTTTTAACATTGATTATGAAACTTTAATGAATCTTTTGAAAACATTATTCTATAAAGTTAGATCAGTAATAAATTTCCTAATTTCAAATTTATATTATTATTTTTTTCTTTTTTGCATAAAGATGTGGATAGTTTATTTTATTTTATTATTATTGTTAAAAACAATAATAAACATATAAAGAAGACAAAAATGTTTTTTTCCGCAAAATACAATATAATTAATAACAAAATATAATATATATACATATATGCATTTATTTGATAGTTCTGAAATTTTGTATTTGAAAAGTTTTTTCAATGTTAAAATTTTTAAATAGTAAAATTGTCTTCGATAATCACAAAAAAATTTACAATTTAATTTGAAGAAGCGACTTTTTTTTACTATCTTTTCGTGTTTACAATAAGTTGATAATTGCACAAAAAAAATAATAACTTTTAGAATATTAAAATATTTTTTTTCTCTTTAAGTTGAAACCTTAAAAAATTATTGTCATAAAATATTTTAATTAAAAATTTTATTTGCGGACGCATGAATATTCCCTAGGAATTTTAGTGGTGACAGATTAAAAATTATTGAATTATCGTTTTAAAATCCACCAATCACAATTTTCTTTGATAATATTTGATTGGTGGATTTTAAAACTCCCGCTGAAATGTTTCGGCTAGGTGTATGATCCGATATGTAAAAGTTCTATCAAATATCATTTTAGACAAGTAAAAGTTTAGTCAAATGCCCGGCTGAAAAAACTTGTACAAGAAAATGTACAAGTTCTTGTACATGTTCATTAATGAACTTGTACATTTTCTTGTACATGTTCATGTAATGTTCTTGAACAAGTTCAGCATCCGGAATTGAGACATGTTCTTATACCAGAACTTGTACAAGATCCTGAACAAGAAAATATACTTGTACAAGAAAATGTACATGTTCTTGTACATATTTTTTTGTGCAGGTTTCATGTAAATTTTCTTGTACCAGATGTGGAACATGTTCTTGTACATGTTCATTTATGTCTTTTAAATTAAAAATTAAAAACTTTAAAGTCTGCGCAGTAGTTTTCTTAAGCCTTTGCTGCTGCGCAATAATTTTTAGCATGCATAAGTGAAGAGTCTTAATAATTATAACTTATTAAAATTTCAAATTTTTTTTTAAAACATTTTTAAACAAATTTTCTTGTACAAGAACATAAACGTGTTCATGTTAAAGTACTTGTACATGAAACCTGAACAAAAAATATGTACAAGAACATGTACATTTTCTTGTATATTTTCGTATCCATGATCTTGTACAAGTTCTGGTACAAGAACATGTCTCAATTCCGGATGCTGAACTTGTTCAAGAACATTACTTGAACATGTACAAGAAAATGTACATTTTCTTGTACAAGTTTTTTCAGCCGGGTGGAGTTTCGCATAAATAATAATTCTATCAGTTAAAAATTCAAATATAATAATTTCTTTTTAAAATGTTAATTCTGTTAAACAAAAATTAGTTTAAATAAAAATATTCTTTAATAAATGTTTTGTAAAATAAGAATTTTGTTAAATAGAAATTATATTAAATTAAAAAATAATTTAATTATTAAATAAATTTCAACAGTTCTTATGTGGAAGATATTCATTCGTCTCCATATTTGAGTTATTTTTACAAAAGTAAAAATTTTAAAGCAGTAAAATTCTCTTCAATAAATAAGAAAAATTTATACTTTAACTTTTGCCAATGACTTCTTTTTAGTTTCATGATTGTTTACTGCTTTTAATATTTGTCTATAAAAAGATGATAAAAATAATAACTTTTAGAACATTAAAATCTAGAGTTTTTGTAATTGAAATTTTAAAGTAGAAATCCATATCAAATAAAATTTTTTAGAAATACTTGGATACATTAATAATTTATATCTTTTTCTAATATATATTTTTTAACATGGATTATATGAATAGAATATTTTATTTTATTATCATTGTTAAAAATAATAATAAGCATTGTAAAGAGAACAAAAATGTTTCTTTATTTAATTAATAATTAATAATAATTAATAATAAAATATGCATTTATTTGATAGTTCTGAAATTTTGAATTTGAAAAGTTTTTTCAAAGTTAAAATTTTAAAATAGTAAAATTGTCTTCGATAATCACAAAAAAATTTACAATTTAGTTTGTAGAAGCTACTTTTTTTTACTATCTTTTCATGTTTACTGTAATTTGATATTTGCACAAAAGGAAATAATAACTTTTAGAACATTAAAATATTTTTTTTTGTCTTTAAGTTGTAAGCTTAAAAATTTATTATTATTATTAAATATAATATAAATTAAAATCAAAAAGAGGTTACATTAGAAGACTTGAAAAGAGAAATTTTTTTGGGTGCCATAGTCCTTATTAAAAATTTTCACGTGGGATGCCATATAGGTTCTTTAGGAACATAATTATTTAAAAATGAAATTATTTATGTTAATAATTTGTTTAAATTTTTGTCGCAGAAACAATAAATGATCGATTAATTCATTTTGCTGTAATTTAATATTATTATTTAATAAATGTTGAAATTTTAAAGCACTGATAATGTAAAAAACGAAATTTTTTTAAAAAATTGTTGCTATGTAAGTAAATTAATGGAAATAAATGGATATTTTTAACTATATTAAAATAAAGCAAAAGATATAATTTTATTTTATAACAGTTTTTCGTACTTTATTTTTATAATAAACAATAAGAATCTAAAAGCAGCTATATTATCTACAATACAATATATACAAGGTTTTTTTAGATCTGATAGCGGTTTCCAATGTATTATTGTGCCCTGAACCATGTCCATATTTATTTCTAGTTGATAATTTTAAAGGTAAATATTTTTGAAAACAAAATTTTAAAGCAGTAAAAATTCTAATCTCATGTTTTATAGATGTACACGACATCCTTCTGCTTTACTTAGTCATGTATTTTAAATTAGAAGCAAATTAATTAAAATATAAATATAATAATTCCAGGTCCACTGATAGGAAATCAGAAATCTAAGAAATTACAGATTAAACAAATTCAGAAGCTGATATATTAAGTTTATCAGCTCACAATGAATAACACATCAAAAATATTTGCTCAAAATCAATCAAATTTTCAAATTCTTCCTATTTGCAACTACATTCTGAATTTTAGTATTTTCTTATGCAACAAAGATTTAGTTAAACTCGATCAACAAAATCATACTGCTCACGTACCAAACATTCTCTTTAAATATCTTCATAAATTTAAAGATGAATACGAAAAGGAACTGCAACTAATTCGAGAAACGATGAAAAAAAGTGATTTTTATAAAAATGAAACACTCTGCATGAAGTTTGTTAATGAAACGTTTCGTAACATCATCAGCAAGGATCCATTTTCCAACTATGGAAACATTACTGATTACTGTTTTTCTATGAAGAAAAATGACAAACTAACTTCAGAGGGAGTTGAAAAAAGTCTTAATGATATTTTGAGAATTTTTAC